AAATAAGCTCCCTGGCATGTAGTCACACAGAGCAGGCTCAGACAATCTCCAGTTTTCTGTGTACTTGTTCTTCTTGATAAAATTAAAGTTGGTCTACACTAATGGGTGTTAGATCGTAAAGTGGTGCAGTAGAGGCATCACCAGCTAGCGGCGTAATGGCAGGCATTCAACCCCCTTTGACATCGAGTGAGCATAAAGCTCATTCAAAGACTAAGAAAAAAAGCTGTTTATAGAGTCTGATTAACAGTCAAGCAAATGTTGCTGCCGCAGTGAAAGAACACGAGTCAAGTCTCCGAGGCAGGTATTAACATATTTATTACACCGTTAAGAGAACAACAATACCAGAATTATACTGCAAAGTTTCACAGACTGACAGACCATAGTTTACAGCCCAAAAAAGAATAAAAAGAAGAAACACAAAGGAAAAAAATCAACAAGAAACCACAGTTCTGACATAGTAGACTGGAAAGCTCTCTAGAGGACACTGACCCTAGGCGATAGAGAGACCGCCCAGTGTCAGCCTACCACTAACCTGTGGTTTTCATGTCTCAATTAAGTATTGCACAACAACTTCAAATCATTTGAGCTCTTTTTTTCACAATAAATTTTCTCAAGATAACACAAAAAAGAAAGCCCTCCCACCCCTGAAGTACAACTCACTCCCCCGAGATTAATGCTACGGCCTTTGATAAGAAGGAAAATGAATAACATACTCCCCATTGTTAAAAAACAGGCATGCCTAGATTCATAGCCTCATATTTTTTAATTTTACAAGCTTTGCCTTGTGTTTCCCCCCTTTTTTGAATTTACCTTAGCTGACGAATAACCACCTCTGCATGTCTTTACAACAGAGAAGAGAGAGAAAAAAAGAGGGAGGGGAAACAGGAAGAGAAAAGAGCAGGAGGGAAACAACATTTCTTATCTGTGACCTTAGCTTGTATCATCGAAGTAGGAATCGACAACACTTTTCTTTAAAATTAGCACAATTTTTTAAAATCTGTTCAAACAATTCAAACTCTTGATGTACTCTACAAACGCTACAGGCATAAAGGAACATAACAAAAGTTTTTTTTCTCATTTCTATTCATTTATGTTTCATTTATTATGAGGTCTGCATTGTTACCAAGTAGTGATATGGTTTTGCAGCTGTATGAGCTTCAACTTTGGGTTTTTTATTTTCCTGTTCTCTTGTGCCCATTTGGTTTAGACTAGACCAGTATCAGCGCCGCGACTGATGCTCTTATCGTGCTGTAAGAGGTAGAGTGAGACTTGTTTGCCACCGAGGAATTTGTAGCAAAACACACATAGAGTAGGGAAGAAAGAAAAATAGAGCTTCTCAAAAAACTGTTTGCCATATTCACACTTCGGCTATTCTCCTCAGATGTCACAGTCCCTGGTAAAAAAAAAAAACCTGGGAAAACAGGAACCTCCTCTTTTGTATCTTTTTATGTTCCAGTTATTAAAAATGTAGTCAGTCTAAGTAAATGTTTCTACTCTATCAACCAACAGCTGAGGTGATAATAGAGTGAAAACTTAACGGACCATATTTTTAGGTATGACAACACATTTGACAACCCAGTAATAACTTTTACCCTACATCTGGCAGACACAGTCAACCCCATCCCAGCTCACAGTTACTCTGGTACAACTCTTTGCCAAAATTAGCTCTGACTTACAGATAGGCAGCTAGTCCACAGCTTCATTTCACTTTTATTTGCTATCATTTATTAAAACTGCCAAACTATACCATCTGAAAAATTGTTGCGTGCTTATATTGGCTGTTGAAGACCGTATGCGTCACTGTTGCGCATCAAAAGTTGTCCAAATGTTTCCTACAGCCTGATTGGTTTGCGCATGCAACGAAGGCTGGCTCCTTAAAAATCTGTATTTTGCAACTGGAAATATGGCTGGTACCCTTCCAGGATTTTCACTCTGTGTCTGTCATATGAGCAAAAATAAAAGAGGTTACGTCTGAAGTCGAGCTTGTGGCTCTTTACCCTCGTGCCACTCCCTGCTCTCTCCCCCTGTTTCCTGCTCCATTAACTGACCTGTCCTCTAAAGGCACAAAAAGCCAAAAACTGAAGTTGGATTAAAAAGTTTTGTGAAAGTCCAAATATTCATCCCACTCAAAACTTCAAACGCTATAATAACAGCTTTTAAACATCCCGCGTTGAGTGACATCAGAGGAAAGTAGCCTCAGTCTGAATACAGTGGATTGAGCAATGATATTTGTTTAAGTTTTTTTTCTGGTTTTTCTTGTTTAATCCAGGTTTTGCCCTGATAATGATGAACACACATGTAATTTGTTGTATGCTTTTAGATACACTGCTGTTCAAACAGCTTAGCTGTTTCTTCACAGCTTCTGAGGAGTCGCTAGTCGGGTGTCAGACACCTTTTTGGATTGTATAACCCTTTAGAGTCAAGAATGCAGATGTGTTTTTTCTTTCATTTAGACGAGAGAGGGAGAGATGAGGAAGTACAGAGGGAGTGTACTGCCCAGAGCCTTTGTGGGCCTCCACTTGATCCTTGAGGTCAGAATTTGTAACGTGTGTCTGTGTAGCACCAAGCTGTTTGGGGTGAAGAGCCTTTGTGTGCGTCAGGATAAGTGCTCTTTGACTGTGAATGAGAGGTTTGCTTGATTTAAGATGACGGTGACTGATTCGCTATGACAAAAAACAGACGTGAGTTTAATAAATACCAAAAACAAAAAAGCTGATGGTGTTACAGCTCAGTCGCACATTCATCTCTGTATGAAGAATGACAAACTTAACTGCTTAATGGCACAAAATCAGACCTTTGTGTAATGAGAAAATGTACACAAAAATATTTTAGAATTGTCTTCAAATGGTTCGAGAGGTCGTTAATGTCACGATATTATTGCTCCAGTAATGGTCATAATGTTTATATCACATCTTCTCATTTCACAACGTTAGATGAGCGCCATTTAAGAATCAAAATAAATTTAAAATGACATCTATGGAACATGTTTTTCTCCATTTATGCACCAACAGAAACACATAAAACAAGGTTAAATGTGGACAAACCTCTTTTGGAGATAGTTTTAAATCAGGATTTGGTCCTAGGTGTCAGTCTTTGGCTGTTTTTGGTGTTTTTTTTTTTTGTTTATCTCTTGTGTTAATACTGTGTGTTACCTGGTGCTTTGCAGTGTTAAAGCTGTCAATTGGAGTCTACACCTCTGCATTTGGAAAGAAAGTTTGTTAGATTATTTTTTGTCATTTTTTTCCCTTTTTTTTGGTTGTTTTTCAGTTTTTCTAAAAATAACAAATATGTAACAAACGTTCAGTAATGTGCATGCACTGTCTGTAACTATTCAAAAAAAAAAGAAAAAAAATATGGCTGCTTTTTGTTAGCATGATTAGAAAAAAGAAAAATAGCAGGTTGGCGGATTTACATTTTTCCAGCTTTCCTCGTCCCAAACAATGTTAAAAACAGACGCTATCACTACATACAAAATGGTTGATGAGTTATGGCTCTATACTGACAACACAAGTATGCCAAAAAGAAGCATGCCAAAATAACCTCTGTGACAGTGCAAATACATTTATGTATGCCCGTTGTACAAAACATATAGGGTAAGCATTCCGCGCAACATGCTAGCTCTCAGAAAAGATCTGGGTCGGACTCAAGTAGCAGCTCTGAGATATAGCTTGTGTCTTTTCTTGAGGATGAAGGTAAGTCGAACTGAAAGGTCTACGGGGGGGTCTACCACCTACACACAGAATAGAAAAGCAGCTTGGAAAAAAGATAACACTTCTTTTTTTTCTCTTTTTGCACCAGCTAGAGAAAGAGAGAGAGAGAGAGAGAGAGAGAGTAATGATGGACTCAGAGTTGTGACAGGATAAAGTACTATGCATTGTCACAATTGTCCAACACATATACAATAAATAACCATTGGTGACACCACAGGACGGAAGTCTTAAACACCATGACATCTACAGGGAAAGAATAAGACCATGAAGAATCATGAGAATAATCAAATTTAGGTGCAGAGCTGCTGTCGAGCTGATTCGACAGTCTCACCAACGGGACAGCGACTTCACCTTCACTCCGAGAGCATCTGAGGACCCACCGAGTATTCACCTGCCGATTGTAGTCAGTACATTCTCCACATGTGTAGTGGGCAAAGTTTTGTATCCCATCCAAGAATGCTTCCTTTTACATCCTTCAGGGAGACGGTTTGTATTTCCCAGCTCACTGACCTGGATATTATTACAAGTGAGAGGGAAATAACATCGGTTGAACAGCTGGCTCCACTTGCAATCTGCTGCACATCTGCCCATTTGATGGCGGTCTGTGGGCCAGAGATTCAGCACACCCTTGTCCACTCTCCAGGCTGCAAACTTGTTTATTCACTTCAATCCAACCGTTGGTGTGTCTTTCAGTAAATCAAAATCTGTCTTTCTTCAGACTATTGATGACTGAAGCCGCGCTGCAGGCTTGATTTGTTCCCTTGGGATGCTGTTTGGTAAAGTGAGGTCGACTAGTCTCATGTTTCTGGTACGGGAAGGAAAAAAGCTTTAATTCAAGGATGGGAAACCAAAAGATTGGAAAAAAAGGGGGAGGTCAGATACTTGTCTTGACTTCTACCTCTTCTCAGTCTCTTAATATTTACAGTGAAAAATAAGATAAGCTACAATGACAACAACATTAACAACAACAGTCACAACGACAAACAGACGACAAGAATAGCAAGTGTAGCGATAAAAGGATGTGGATATTTAAATTCATTCATTCAAAACAAAGAATATCTTTGTGTTTCTTTAAAGTCATGGCAAGTCAATATGACCTGATTATGGACCTCCTCCTCCTCCTCCAATGACTACGCTGCAAGATAGACACAAGCATTGCCGTCTCTGTCTGTTAGCCGTGTTAGCTTAGCATCTTTGCAAGGCAATGTAGACAGTCATGCTGTTAGTGGGATCCGGGGCTGGTTGTTAAGACCTGGGGCCGCCCCCCCCCATCCGCTGCGTGAGTCTCTCTTAGCGCGTCGAGCCATCCAGGGCAGAGGAGGACGGGGTGCTGGGGGTGGAGGAACGAGGGGTAGCAGCAGGCGGGGTCGCAGCCGGACTCCCAGTCCCGCTGCTCGGGGTGCAGGCGGAGGAACTGATGGGGGCAGGGGTTTCTGACCCAGGGACCCCTCCCTGCTGCTGGCTGGCCTGCTGCTGCTGGGCCTGCAGGGTCTGGCCACAGACGTGGTGGTGCTTTTCCCAGTCCTTGTGCTGGCAGAAAGAGCCGCAGTAGCGTGCCGTGTTGCAGCCACTGCAGGTCTCACTGGCTTTGCGGCCACAGTTCCAGCAGCTCTGACAGACAGATAGAGACAGATTTAACTAAGACTAAATAATACAAAGAAACAGACAGAGGTTTAGCATGTTAAGACACAAAAACTGATTTTATGCACTCAAAGAATTATCATATTCGGGAGAGTGGGGTAAGATGAGCCATTTTTCAGATCACTACATCAAGGCAATCATAACTTTGTCTCCAACTAATGTATCTGCATATATTTCAAGATGTTGTGCATCCCTGCAAACCAACAGATTGAGTGTAAACAACTGTCTTGATAATGTAGCATGCCAAAAAAAGTGGTCTGCTATGGTCTGCACCCCCCCCCCCCCCCCCACTCCCTACCCCAGCCCTCCCTCACCTTCTCTCTCCCTAAATAACAGTCACTTCTTTACATTCATGTGTATTTTTATTTATTAAACATGATTCAACTGGTACAGTATATATGTATATATTTTTACTATTATTACCCATAATTGCTAAAAAGCTGTTTTGTGAAAAGCCATTTTAACATGAGAATGCCTGTAAGTGTGCTTCGGAAGATTCAGAACATTCACAGCTGTATTTTTGAAAAGAAAAAGAGTGAAAAATGTGTGAAATAAATCTCTAACCCCTTCACCTATGTGTTTCCAACCTTCACAGACTCCATGGATTGATGCCCATCTCCTATATATTTGGTCACATGATCAATTTCTTTTACCATTTCCAAGCAACAGGGGGTGGCTCAACTTACCCTTTGACTCAACTTACCCCAGTCTCCCCTATTCATGCTGCATCAAAAAGAGAAGCTTTAACATCATCGATGCACCTCTCTGCCCATTAGCAAAGCTAGCCTCTCCTTTTACATCACTTAAGCTTAAAACAAACCACACACACATCAAAAACCCATCTCTGATTACACTTAGGGCCTCTGATTTTTATATATAGGAAACTGTTGGGAGAGCATGTCGGAGCGGCTGCATAACCACAGGAAACAGGAGAACAAGGTTACAAACAGCGTCTGAAAGTTCTCCTCTGGGGCGCTTCCCTCTCATAAACATCACTCCTGCAATTAATGACAGATGTGGGCCATATTTCCCTCCTCACTTAACTGATTAAACGTCAAGGTCTCCAATGATGATTAGCAAATTAAAGCTACCTTTTCTTATTTCCTCTCAGCTGAATTAGTAACACCTTTCCAAACATGCAAGTGACTCAGTGGGTAAAGATAAGGAAACAAAGTTTAATGGCAGCTTGTTTTGCTATGTTTTGCTGTTACTTTCACTGTCTCTGTGCTATCAAGTGACTTTTATTTACAGGATTACTTTTAAAGATGCAAATATTTAACAACCTCCTTGATATTTCTAGGACACATTCTCCTCTCCGACTTTTCTCTTATGCCCTCTGGGCGCCGCTACTAGGCACCCCCAAGGAAAACAAAAAGATACTCAAACTCATTTATCCCCTCAGCGATCAGGCTGCTAAATGCTGGGAAGTAGACTATAGCTGATTGGTGGCCTGTGTTGAAATTGGGGTCTCAGGATTGCTTTAGTTCTTATTTTACTTCTTTTATGGCATTATTTCTTATTGCATTTTAGTCATTTCACTGTTGAACATATTTTGTATGTATTTATTATCCATTTATTTATTGCTGATTTGTGGTGCTGACAGGGGAATGTTTGGGCCATATGCTGCTATTAATGTCTGGCATTGTTAAATAACGAGGTGGGTTAACTGTGAAATGAATTGCCCTTTGTGGATTAATAAAGTTGTCTGAATCCAAATATTCATATTCAATATAAAAAATACAAGGCACACTAGCACCTCAGATGCTGTCTTTTTTGGGTGCCTCTCCTGGATAAGGTCCAAACTGTGTCCTGCATGAAGACTATCACTGTGTGCAGCAATGTACACTTTTTCTGCAGATGTGTAGCTCTATCTGATGATCCACAGGAACTCTTCAAATGTATAACCATAAATCTTTGATGACTATCTTCCTCACTGTCATCATGTTTGTTGTTAGAAAATTCGGTCTTCTCTTGCGTGTCTTTGAGACTGAGTGGCGCCCTCTAGTGGGTGCATTATCAAAGATTGTCCATCCAGTTCTAAAGAGCAGCTGGTGAGTGTGTGACTAGTGATAACTGTATTTTCACATTTAGCGAAAGCACCTTCAGGATCAGCCTAATACAGGATCTATACCTGAAGATGGTGTTTTCTGTGGTTCAGGGTACACTTGTGTGTGCTCCTACCTCACTGGAGTCTTCCTGTTGGTTGATTATAGAGAGAGCATCTTCAGCTGCTTGACGTTTGGCCTCTGCTACCGTGCGCTCCATCTTGGCCCGCTCGGTGCTGATCATCTCGTGAGCTTTGCGCTCGGCCTCCGACACGGCTTTCTGTAACTCTGACATGGCCTGTCGCTTCACCTCATTCACAGCCTCTTCTGGAAAGAGTGTGGAGACAGAGGAAGTCAAGCCTCCCGAACCTGCAATATAGTGTGTGTTATATCATCTGGGTCTCTGAAGGGGGTGTTTAGAAAGTACACTGGTTGACTGGATACAAACATCAAATGGAAAGGCACAGAGAGGGAGAACTAAGAGTAAGAACAGGGTCTAAATTTGGCGTGCAGGGTCGTGTTTTTATTCTTTTATTTCTGCTGTAAAAATGACCAAAAGGTTCTATAGTTGAAAAATTCAGAGTTATTTGAGGCTGAGCACACAAAGTCATTCCTTTCCCTTCAATTTTAAACATTCTCGAGACAACAGCATGAGCCAATTAATACCAGCTAATAGCTCTGGAAACCTGCTTTTGAGCCGGAGCAATGTGTTATTTTATACTTGTTTTGTAGAATGAATAACCTTGCCGTGCGGGTGTTAAACGCTGGAATTCAAACTGCACGTCAAAGCAAAAGGAGAGCTTTTTGTTTGCTCCCATCAAGCTTGTAACTTGACTAATTGTGTATGCAAATCAGGCAATTTATATTTAAATTATGCATTTCCATTGTGATCCCAGAGGCCCATGTGGTGAGGGGAAGTGGGAAACCAGTAGGACACCGTGCAAGGTGCTTGAATATTTATCACCAACTGTAAACATTTTGCTCATTTCAAATAGATGCATTCACCACCACTCTCTGTTGTGTTAAAAACTTATTTTGCAATTCTCCATGGGTCATATTTACATCAGGGTCTCCTTGGCTTGAATATAAGTGCCTGAAGTGAGGAGGATTTAACGAACACTGGGAGAAATGCAGAAAAAGATCCTACAAAGATGGTTATACATTTTTGTCTGACAGACACGCTCCTCTGTTTTCTCTTTGCACAGATTACATTGATATTACAAATGTAAATTCTCCATATCAGACAAAATGCCAGCTTTCATAAAAACGCACATTTTCTTGCTAAATTTTTAAACCAGGGGGGTTTCGTCTTTAACCCACTCTGCTGCCTGGAGCCACGAAAATCGCCCCGGTGCTAGGTGATGTACGCCTTGTACTTGGAATTGTGATTACACACCAAATGCTTCAGATGGAAGATCGATCAAAGCAGGCAAGGGAGGGGAGTACAGGAGAGCAGGCCGAGTCCCCGATGGTGATACTCAATTCAATTTAAATGCATATTACTTGTTCTGAGTATCTCACACATCATGCTTGGTCAAGCAAGGGGACAATTTCTTTTCTCCAAGGGGTTTAAATAGCAGATATACTGTATCACTGACACTGAATACAAAGTGGATTTCTTCTTGAGCGTTGAACCCTCAGTGGAAAATTCTTTCAGTTTTTCAAGAGAGCGATAATGGTGATTACAGCTGTGCTCAAGAGTTAAAGAATGCTGTTTGTGAATGCTAAAAATTTAATGGGAGCTAATGAAAGCTGTTAAAGCAACAAATTAGTTTCAATACTTGATCTTAACTGGCTCTGCAAATTTCCCTCTTCAGTTTTACTACTCTTTGGTCCAAATAGAAAAGCTGTGATGTCTGTTGCTGCAGTGATTACAAAAGTGCCAAAAAGCAAAAAGACACCAATTCTTGCTACTGTAGTTTTTAACAACAAAACCACACGAGCAGCTGTGAAAGCCATTCATGTCCCCTTTTTGTCTGGCGCAATAATATTGTTTTATGACCTGACATCATTCTTGGAGTGTGCAGAGAGTGGTGCTGAAGCTTATAACTTCTGACTCTATCAAACACAAAGATTTTCCAAGAGCAGCCTGACATATTAATTTGATTTAACCAGAGGAAATGGTTGCAGACAGCAGACTAGGTAGAGACAGGGTCTGAAAGAGGGCTTCTCATTCACTTCCTATAAAGGAAAATGTCCAACTGCAGAGTGATGAAGATGAAGATGTATTTGTGGTTGACTCACCAGCTTTCTTCCAGATCTCTTCAGGGACATAGCCAGACACAGGTCGGTGGAGTAGCTCCCGGTGAATTTCTGAATAAACACAAAAGCACTAAAAATTAGAGCTTCATCAAAATTTAAATGCCAATATTTAACCAAGCCAATATTTTTCATATTAATTTGGTTGAAACTATGTTAAAAATAGACCAGATGTTTCAGGCCAAATATGGTTCATTAATCTGGTGGTGAAAGTATGGCTGCATCATTTAAATGTTCTGACACAAGTTTTCTTTCAATCTCAATAACCTGTTTTTTTATGTTGAAAGAAGGACTGAAACAATCATGATGGTGTACTTTTCCAGCAGTAACCCATACAAAGATACAATTTCAACACTTTTTTAAATACAAAAATAAACGCATGTTATACTATGTAGGACAAATGAAAGCTTCAGACACTGTAAAAGGCGCAGTTTAAAGTGAGTAAATATGTGATACTATTACCATGACTCTGTGGCTGATAGTTATGAGTTCAGGTTGCCCACAAGGGTTTTTCTCAGGGGACTGTGTCTGCTTGCTGACCAATTTCGCTGCTTTTTTAGGGGCCTTTTTTTTTTCAAAAATCACAAGTTTTGAAGAATCTTATAACATCCCAGTAAAATGTGGTTTAAAAAAATATATTGATTTATTGTCTTCAAGTATTTATATATACTTGATTCTTCAACTGCTGAACCATTTTGAAATGTCATTTCAACAAAAATGTTTACCTAGCAGTGAAAGCTGCTTGTGACCCTTAAGTTTCCCTATTGTTGTGAGACATCAAATTGCTAAGATTTTCTGAGAGATTGAAGTATTCAATTGTCTACAATAAATATATTCACATTGAAGATCTTTGACCTAATTACAGTATGCACAATCTAAAGAGCAGAGGACTAAGACTTGAACCCTGGGGAACGCCACACTCAGTGTTCGCATTTCTGAACATAAAACTGCTAGTTTATGAGGGATAAAGGATTTATTTAAAAATGAGCTGTTATGCTTAAATGTAGAACAAAAAGTCAGTGGTAGATGGTTTTATATCAGTAAATAATTAAATCTTGTAGTTTTGTTATTGTTGGGCCTTGAGCGAGTGTGTTTAGAAAATTACAACGCCCTTCTGTAATGTTACCATTATAAATATTTTAGAAAAACTTTCTACTTTACCCTGAAACACCTCAAAAACATGTCAAAAGTGTGTCGACCCTCACCAGGAGTTGCATTTTCCTGTGCTGCTGGGCTCTGCTGCCTTGACTGCCCACCAGCGCCCCCTTTCTTCAGCTCCTCAGCATCACTGTATCGCCGGATCCAGTAGTTGAGTTCCTCTCGGTCGGCCTCCTGGCACCGCCGCAGAACTGTGAGTGAGCGCCTTGTTTTCTCCACCATGTCCATGATGCAGTTCAACAGCTGGGGGTGAGAGGGAAGGGGCAAGGCGCTGAGTTTACACGTAGACCTGGTCTGATTGATTTTGATCCAGAAATTTAGATTGGTGGGGAGAGTTAAAGCTGGTGTTTATCGTGTTCATTTAGTACTTTTATGGTGGTGAAACATTGTCCATATTGTAGAGCATCAATTTATTAGTGAAATACCATACATGATATATGAAGACAAACAACAATACATCATTAATTATGTCGTAAGTTTGCTTTAGATGAACATGCATGCTTACATATCTTGTTTTATAACATATATAACATCTTTTACTTACATAGACAGAACTGAAAGATATAGTAATAAAAAAAAATGTTATTACTTTTCTTACATGGTCAAGGTGCTTCCACTCCTCCGCCCACTCTCTGTCCGTCAGCCTGTGGTCAATCACTTCCTCCTGCCTGGTCCCAGAATGCATCCCTGCAAGAAAAGACAGACAGACAGACGGAAAGACAAACAAAGAGTGCGTCAGTGTGATGCTTAGGATCGATGCAGTCCATCATTTCTTGACCCTCCCTTTGATCCATCTTTCATTTAGTCTCTGGTTAAGGCGCTCCCGCCATCCACTTCTTCCCCTCTCCCTCCTCGCTCCCACTTCTCTTTGCTGTCTCCATCTCTCTCTCCCACCCTGAGGCCAGGACTCAAAAAATGACTGAGCTTCTAGTCCAATAAACATCCATCACAGGGCGAGACATGGTAAATGTCTCTCCTATTTTTAGAGCTACGCTGAAGTCGTCATTACAGCTTCATCAAGGCCGGGTCTGTGCAGAAAAATGTCTCTAATACATCGGCACTGTGTCTAAATGGGCCATTTTGAGCGCCCATATATCAGCGTTGTTTTGTGCTCTCTGACTGTTTGTCTAGCATGCACAAAAATGGACACTGACTTATTATGATTGCTCGAACAGTTATGGATCTCAGTGGCGTAGAAAAACTCCAAAGCTTGAGAAATGATGTAAAACTGCAGCAACTGCTGTAACTATTTACCATTGTGTATGAAATCCGCTTTATGCTCCTCTTGGTTCCACTACAAAGTTAAAGCTTTGACAGGATGCCATGTGGAGGGATTTGTTTGTCTCATCTAATCTAAACCTATAGTCACAAAGACTTATGAACACCCCCCTTCCTCCCTCTTCATCCTCACCAATAGGCCTGGTTCTCTCTCGGATCTCCCTGTGGTTGGATGCAGGGTGTCTGTAGGTGTCGCGGTAGTGATGGGCGATGGCCATGTCGTCCAGCCTGTAGTGCTGCGGAGGGAGCGGACCCGGGTGTGCCAGGCCGTTGGGTTGGTAGGAGAGCCCGTTGGAGGGGCTGAAGCGCTGGGCAGGGCTTATAGTGCAGGGCCGCTTGCTGGGGTGAACATCAGGATGAAGGGAACCATCTCGCTCGAAGCCGTTCTCTTTGGTTCTGGGTGGATAGAAAAGTAGTTTATTAGTTAGTTCAACCTTATCAAGAAGAGGAGGGATTTTTTTATGGCAATTTGTTTTCTTGTAGCCTTCTCATAAACCAGAGAAAAGGTGCCAATATATTTCAATGTGTTTGTTCACTCAACAATCCGGGCTGTGGCTGTGTAACAAGAACAGGAATTTATGCGTTATTTTTTGCATGCTGATTTCTCACTATCTGTGTCTGTAATGGAAGGTAACAGCACTACTGCACATTTTATATGGCAAATCTCACTTAAATGTCACTTTTGACGGGTTAAAAGTCACACCGACTTTGGCCCTTTTCCACAAATAGGAATGTATTTTTGAAAGAGAGAGGTTTTTCTCCTGTTCTCCTGTTTTTGAAAAATATCCCATCCACACCACCCAGATATGGGTGAAAATGCTCACATAAGCCAGCCTTCTCCACAATGTTGCACCTTTTTGTGCTGCATTCAAAAGCTGGAGTTAACCCTCCCCCATGTATTCTTGCATGTAAAACCCTTCCTCACAAATGACACACAAACATACATGTGGAATCTAGTAGCTTTCAGGGGATCAGGTGGATTTTTGTTCGCCTGCTTCCAAAGATTAATGTGGCCAGGTGTGTCTGTGTGTGTGCTTGCACAAGTATGTGTGTATTCACAGTTAAACCGTGCCAACCTCCCCCCACTATCAGCAATCCTCCACACTCCCCACTCTCTCTCTCTCCCTCTCTCCTCTTTCTCCCCATCCCTGTCTCCGATGAACAGATTGAACTTCTTAATGAGCTGTTTTTATGGGCTCCTAATGCTCATCCACAGCTCTCCATATGCTCTTTCCCTCCATCCGTCCGTCTCTTGCTGCCCCCCCCCCCCCCCCCCACACACACACACACACACACACACACACACATACACACACACACACATACAACCACACTCTGTTTCTCCTGCCTTCCTGCTGCAACAATGGCTCTGCGGGCACATGTACTTACATCCTCAGAAATTTATTTTAAAACATAAAAAAATCATATGCTGTAGTCACATGACTTGTAAATACTTATACATAAGAAATCAAACAGATGATGCAAATTTCAGAAGCTCTATACTAACCAAGCGCTATACTAAGCAACTCAGTAAAAGCAGAAAAATACTTCAGATTTACAGTGTCCACTTTTTTTGCATACTTGTTCTTTTTGAATAAATAAGCATGTCCACATCGTTGAGTGTCAAAAAGGCAGAAAACACATGTGGTGGGGGGACTGGCTTGAAAAATCTCTGCATTGACTTTCCACCAGTCTGTCTTCTCAGTATTTAAAGATGGGATCTCGTTCGGGTAAAGATTTCCCATCTTTGAGTATGTAGTGGTTGTTGTGTAGTCTTGTAGAGACCTGATGCACAGCTCCAACTCTTGACTGAGCATCTCCACATAAAACATGCTTTGAACTTAAAACACAAAAGGCTGATAGCTGAATTGTTTATCTCTACCATGACAGGAGAGGAAGTGCTAACTTAGTACTCCACGCTGTATTATCTCAATGATTGCCTTTGTTTACACGGTAATGTTTACACTATACACTTGTTTTCCCCACTTCTGCAGACGCTTCAGTTTTCCTGCTCTTGTTCCTGCAGACTCTTGTATTATTCAGTTTGCAGTGATAGTGCATTGTTGTCTGTAATTAAGGATTCCCATTGAAATTCCAATATTCCAACACAGGGCTCCAATAAGCGGGAATACAGAGCAGAGGTAAGCAAAAAAGCAAAGGTGCTTAGCCAGCCGTATTGGTGCTGGAGCCTCATCTGTATGTGTTATCAGCCCATCTCCCTAGGCAGACACACACTCTCACACACACTCACATACAGACCTTAACACGTATAGAGGTGCATATATGAACCATACTCACGCTTTCACACAGGACAGAAAATCATTCGCACACACATTCACACAAACACACTAGATTTTTTCAGGGAATACAGATGCCTACTTACTGCTCTCTCCTGTCATATATTCTCTTTTTTTCACATTTACACGCACACCCTTTCCCCTAAGCTTGCTCCCCCGTGCACCAGACGGCCTACAAATATGCAGGTATTACAGAAAAAGTCTGCCTATCTGACTGTTAGGGGAAAAAGAGAGGTGAGAATTATTAATATTGGGTTTGGCATTTTTGTCCCTCAGCAAATATGAGAAGTGCATTTTCCTCTCCCCTGTCTGTATTAAAAAAATATAGACCCCCAGGAATAACTCTTTATTTTAGAAAAAAAAAAAAAACTGCTCCTACTGCACTGCAGAGACCCGAACTGGCGAAGGAATTATAGAGATGCATGTTTGCGTGTTTATATAACGTTTATCAAAGGCTTGTTCATCTCATTTTTTTAATGTTGATCAGTTAAACCCAAATTCATTTTCAGACTTTGACGATATTTGTTAAACTTCTGAACAAGGCTTGGACCTTCCAACATGAAACCAATTTGCCTTGAGCCGTCGTTTAGATCCAGACTATAGAGCATACTGTGTTTCAGGTACTTCCGCCCTGAATACTCTTGCATACTCTTGCTCTAGTATAGAGTGTGTCGGTCCTGACCCACTGTTAATATAATGATTTTTCAGTATTCTATAGACATGTAGGGCTGGAGAGCTGTCCAAACATTTTACTGTATGTCTCTTTTGTTGTTCTAATCTTCAGTTCATGTCCTAAATATCCAGTTTTCATTACTAGTCCCATATTTATTTCCATACATATAATGCCAGCTGATGTCGAGACTATCCCTGCCTCCTCATCCTGACTGTTAGAGGCTTATACTGATAAGGACTGTGCTCATCCTGCGAGTACAAGAGTCATCCTTTTACCCCCTTTGATGGGACAGACATACATTTAACAAAAAAAAGCTTTCTAATGAAATTACTTAATTAATTTCGAGAATAATTGATTGATTATTCAATTACTGAGATATTTAGATATATAGATAATTTAACTGCACCCAACATGAAACACACTGTTTGCCTCTTGTGATGGGTTCTGTGCTTGTTTATTCTGCTTTGAAAGAGACTCTTCGAGAAAAGAGATCACATTTTTACAGTGTGTTTGCTTCTGGAGGTCATGAATCAGAATTTAGGGCAGAGGTCTTTTAAAGATAAACAATTTCTATAGCCCCTTACAGCTGCAGTACGGCTGGTTTGTGCATTTAAACCTTCTTTGAAAGAAACAGACTCAGATTCTTAACTGAGGCTACAAAGATGTATGCTGAATATGTATTCAGGCCCATTCTGTGACAGATTCACACTTCTCATGAGGCACAGCTGTCTCACAGCAGTTTTTCTATACCCAGTGTGTGTGTGTGTGTGTGTGTGTGTGTGTGTGTAGTCAGGTCTATTTCCCACATCTCTTCCCTTCCTCTGTTCTGGCCCATTAGGAGTCAGAGCCGGGAGCTGAGATGTCCAACAGAGCACGTCATGAGGCCCGGTGGCGCTCTGACAGACACTTCCCATACATACATTAACACATCACAGGATTGCCTTGCATTGGCTCAGCCTGCATCTGTGGAGTGTTGTATGTTCACCAGGGTACAGAGAGATTCACAGGGATTTATGCATGAGATCAAATAGCAGAGGAGGGAAAAAGACTCAGACGCTTAAATGTTGGCAAGAGTATAAATGTGTGCCATGGCGGCTAACAAATAATCCGAGTCTGATTGACCCACCTGTCTGGTGTCCTTCTCTTGCCATTCTCGTTGACATCCAGCAGGAGTTCAGAGGAGTCCACAGGAGAGGTGGTGCTGGTGTCCAACAGCAGCTGCTCGTGCTGGGCCAGGTACTGAGCCGGGTTCTGCTTGGCCAGCCGGGCGCAGTGCAGCAGCTCCCTCTGAAGGAGAGGCAGGTTAGCCTAGGAAAGGAAAGAGAGTGTTAAAACTATCAAAACTGCCCCTTTGTTTGACGATGAAAACCCCCACTTTCAGTGAGACTATCTGGAGTAAAATGACGGTAAACACAGATTGTGTGCCCAGCTGTTTTTAACAAGGAGTCAGCCTCCAGTGTTAAAAGATGAAGCCGATGCAAAGTAGAAAAAAACGACAGAGTCCTTGAGAGGCCACTTGAGACAGGCTGGTTTAAAAAGCGTTTCGGTCTCTTTAATAGGTGTAGAGTGATCCTCGGTAATTTGGCCTATTTTCTGTATTGGCCTTGTGTTTACAGATAAAAATAATGAATGGAAAAGCCGGCTGTGTTATCACTGCTAGGTTTGTTTTCGTGCATCACTTTGTTGCACCTACTGTCCTGCTTGAGACACTATCTGATCAGATCTATCTACCTGTATCTCATTTAGTTTAAATTATATATCTCTTTTTATCTATTAAAGGCCCAGAGTTGTGCATGTAATAATCAGTCAGCTGATTAATCAGAGTTGATTGATGACACGTTGGCATAATCAGCTTCATACCAGGTCTCATATGGCTTACGCCACCAGGGTTATGGCCTTAACTTCACCTCACTGGTGGGTGAAGCAGAGACACTGCTTCAACTTTATTATTACATGTTTGTTTATGCTCATTATTTAATATCATGAACTAAATGTGTTGGACAATTTATATCAGAGTTTTGCAGAAAAGAGAATAATTTTGCACTGAGAGCCTTTGTTGTAATCCATTCAGTTTAAACCTCCTGTATTAGAATGTAGTTTGTGTCGATTTTGACCTTTTGTTTGGACAAAGTTTTATTTTGAACCTGTCGTCTGATTTTGTTCTTGGTAGTTTTCAGATAAAATTAATCTCACCTTGCTTTTTCTAGTAGTCAAACACGCCGCTTACTAAGAGTCTTGGCCATGGCGAGTTAAAAAAAGCTGTTTTTGCAGCATGCTTTCTATACTGTGGTGGTTCCAGGTGTTCAGAAAAACTGTACAGGGAGAATTAATCTTTATCCTGATGGTCTATTTTGCAACTCATAGTGGCAACATGATTTATTTCAGTCTGTTTTGTTACTAAATGAAATATTCTCAGAGGAACTTTAAGTTGCACAAACAAAGAACATGCAGCTGGATTATAAAGGCCCTCTTTGTGGGCCTGTGGAAAACATATTTTGTTGGTGATTTATATAACAATAAGGATAATTCATGGCTGCGTTTCTTTGATCCAAACAAGCAAAAGTTGTAAATTATCCCCCGACAAAAGCTTTTCTCTCTGAGTGCACCAACCAGAGATCCATTCCTCCAGGACCTCCAGGCCCCTGTTTGCTCATTACCACTGAACCACCACCACCGCCTGTGACCCAGAGTGCATTAATACCCAAAAAGTTTCTCTATAGAAGTTTTTTTTTTTTTTAAATAGCGTAAAAAGGGTCTTCTTTCTTGTGTGGAGTCACAGGGTCGCGCAGGTATGTGCGCGTTGACTTCAAAGACATCTGATGGGTTGCTTTTTTGAGCAAGAAGATGAAAGTGTTGCGTCAGGCAGGTTCAGACTGAGAGTGGGGGCTATTTTGTCGGGGGTACATCACAGGAGCCTTTGGAGGGGCCATCTTTGAGAGTTTTAAGTCTGTTAATCTTTGTTTTGTCCTTAAGAACGTAATCTCCCTCTAAGACTTTTGCTTACTTTCCCTGTTAGTTTGATAATCCACCTGCTTTTGTTCTCTTTTCCACTCTCTCTTACCTTTAGTGCAAAATAAACGGACAAATTCTCTTCCATTTCTGCTACATTCAGTCTTGTCCTTGCCATACCAGACAGAGAAAACTCTTGCAAAACAAACCCTGATTTGTTTGGTGGTATTTGTGCTTCACAATGGCAGAAATTCTTCTGCAGTAATTGGCTGGAGTAAGAGAAATGCCAATGCCACTGGCCCGCCTTTTACCTGCTCGAGTTAATGGTCCGTTAATAGTTTATGATCGTAATTACCCCTCGAAAAAAGAGCATAAAATAGATTGCTTTGACCCTGCTGAACTCGTCTTTCATTAATGGGAGGTCATCTTCATTGCTGGAGAGATAGGTGATGCATTAACAAAAAGACTGACTCAAGATATAGGACTGCTGAAGAGTCTGGATCATTTTTCATAAGATAAAGCGCATCCGTTCACCCTGTGCAGTTATGGTAACCAACATCTGCACTTGCATAAGAGAGAGAATTCAAGTGGAGCTCAGCAGCCGCAGCGACACTCCACCCTGGATGATTTATTGTGAAAATGCTGGATCTGTCATTTTGTCAAACGGTGCCAAAAAACAATTCAGAAAATGCCACATCCAGGGTACGCCGCACTTCATCAACTGAACTTTTCAGTGTAATTTCAGTCGGAGGAGAATCTAGGTGACTTGCACGTCTTTATTTTTCTTTTTCAATTACTTCCTCCCACAAATATTTCTCCTAACCGAACGTGTTAATTCCTCGCAGGTTTCCCATCATACCAGAGTGACACAACAAAAACAATCACTTGACAGCTAAGAGGAGGGCAAACTTTGACTCAAAAACAAAGAATTATTGTGACTTTGGTGTGGCGGGCGTCCTGCCAACCTATCACGTCACTGGTGCTGTGTGGTTTATGATTGCCTCCTTCCAGTAAAGAGACCCAACCAATTTGTGGTTTGGTATTAAGAGAAGGGGAAAGGAGTTGAGTGGGTTTGGGTATCTGAAGGGGTCGCCTTGGTATAACATTAGCCTAATGAAAAACTCCAAGCCCTGATGCACATTGTTGCAGCTGTGCTTCAACGCACCTATAAAAGCTCCCCTACACCTCCAACTGCTCGCCGCGACCATATGTTTGCTGGCATTAAAGGCCCCACAGAGGGAGGACACTAAAATTAGACTGGGGAGAGAGAGATGGAGAGGCAGAGAAGGAGCGATGGAGGAGAGGGAAAAAAAAAAGAGTGGTGCATCTTTGATTTCGCAGCCATCCCAGTGATACACCAACCATCTGGCGAGGAAACGAAAGGGGAAGGAGAGATGGGGTGGGGGGCAGTAAACAGAGACAGGAAAGGGATAAAGGGAGAAAAATATGGAGGGAGAACAAATGAGAAGAGGAATCAAAGTAGAATTCAATGAAGAAAAGTGAAGATGAGAGAGGGATGTAAGGCAAGAGACAGGTAGGACACAAAGTCTCTGTTTGTGGCATCGACGGCATTTTGAGAGAGATGGATTTCTGCTGCCCACATCCATGCAGCTCCTCTGTGGATAAGAGAGGGTGCAAAGGACTGATAGTGCAATTTACTCTCTTCAGTATGTAGTGCAATTCAGAAAAATACAGGACATCATACCAGTGCATGCCTCACAGTGTGCACACTGGGCTTCAACCTGATAGTTGACAAGCATAAATGCAAGGCAGGAAGCTGAGAAGTACATAAAACCTTGACAGAAGAAGAAGAAGGGACATTAGGGACCAAGTTCCTTTTTCATAAACTAAGTTTGTGCGTACTGCAATCACAATGTTCAAATGACACACAAATCAATCCGCAGCAGCAGCAGTACTAGTAGTAGTAGTAGTATGTGTTAACACAGACATCTACAAATGCACATAATGCATGCTTCAGAGAGGAGTCTGCCTTTGGAGGACCAACTGTTCTGTATCTATACACATCTACCTCATGCCTGTCAACAGAGGAAGAAAAAGGAGGGATAGATGAGATAAAGACGTAAAAAGGAGAGAAAATCAGAGTAAAGATTGAAGAGAAAACAAAATCTGGGCTGTGTAATGGAAACAAATGAGCCGTAGGTTAAATGTGATGCGGTCCTCTGTCCTTCATCTCTCAGTGCCACGCTGATATTGATCTCAGTCTCCAAAACCCGATAACATGATCTAGACTGCTGCTGCTGCACAGTCCATCCCTCACTGTACACCACAATACCATTTTTCATCTTTGACTACCAGAACAAATCAAACCAGCAGACATCCACGCGGTTTCAGTCCCTTAAATCCAGCAGATACTCAGATCTTGTTCCTTTAAAGAAACAAGAATGGACACTATTTAACCTGGAGATGGACAGAACCACAACTGCTCTTTATTTCTGTTTCTCTCAGTCTGATATAAAACAGGATGGAAACATGGCTGTGAATTTGTAGAGGAAGGGGACACAGCTAGAAACTTCCAAGAGTGCTCCTTCCTCTGCTGGTGTACCAGCTAATGGTTGAAATGGGAAACACTCCCTTAAGTTGCGGCTTAGAGGATCGAACAATCAATGAAAAAAAGAAAAAGGCTGAGAGAAGAAAAAGTCAAAGGGCCACGTGAGAAAGGATGTTTTCTTGGACTCATACCACACTCTTTATTGTGCTCTGTTCCGGCTATTGACTGTATATAAAGATGGGTGACGTGTCTCCATCTTCCCACTATTGTACACAAGACAAGATAGACAAAATAGCCCCACAAAAGGTGCAAATATCTTTGAGTGGTGACGTGTTTGGAGCTCATGAAGTGATGTCTCAATTCTTCAGGTAAACAAAGTAGTTTAAACCACTAAAAAAGCATTCAGAGGACACTTCTTAATCTTCATTGAGTAGCTGGAAGGGCATCCAGATGGTATGTTTGTACATTTCATATACTATAAGTGCTCTCAAAGAGGACCTTTTAACTTTGTATACAACCAGAGGGCACTTTTTAATCTTTATTGAGTAACTAACTGAGGTTTTATATTCTGACAGGGCATCCAGAGGGTGTTGCTTTTAATAATATTTTTACAGGAAAGGCATCGAATGGGCACTTTGTATCCTTAATTTTACTCAATGGTGTTCAGGAGAACTTTTTCAACTTCCCTGAACTGAAAGGGCTTACAGAGTATCTTTTTTCTCATTTTATATTCTGAAAGGGCAACAAGAGGGAACTTTTCCAAATTCATCAGTCAGGGGAAAATCTGGAGACAGTTTTTTTTACAGGTAATACTAGAGGGCACAATTTTGTATGTTGTATTTACAGAAAGGCTATCCAGAGGGCATGTTTTAGGGTTTTATATACTGAGAGGACCGTCATAGGGTACTTCTTTTTACACCACAATCACAGACAGGGCACTAAGTGTGGATTTTTATCATCTGGTAGAACACCCGGAGGACACTGTTTTGTTTATTAGAAAGGCATTCATGGGGGACTTTTTCTTGTTATTCTGTTGGGCCGCAGCTCCTGGAACAACTTTTCAGGCATTTTCAAATGAGAGGGCACCAGAGAGGGCATTTAGTTATGCTTATTTACTCTAAGGGTGAACTTCAGCATAGTTTTTTTTTTTCAGCCAGCCCCCCCCCCCCCCCTCACAGAGCTGTAATGTTTTCTTTTTCTTGTCCAAGTCCATGGTTCTGGGATGCAGTAATAGATTCGTGTCCAGAATTTTTGTCCAGAAAAAAGTAAAAACCAACAAGTCTGAAAAGCATCCTGACAGGGCTGAAGAACCACTTCAGGCCACCTTCTGGAGATGCACATGAATATTTAGTAAGTTTTGTAGTTTTAGTTTTAGCACCTAAAAAAGGGAGTCTGCCTCACTGCTGACATCAGAGATGTGCTATTGGATTTAGAGAGACAGAGATAGATGTGTTTATTTAGGGCTAGAAAAGATGATGCGAAAGGCAGAACCAGACTGACAGTATTATTATTGAAAGACAGAGTTTAGCTGTCCATATAAGTTACAGATATGAAGACATAAAGGAAGGAGAAAGTCCAAAAATAGAAAGAAAAACAGGATAAAAATCATGAAGTTCAGTTTGCACATCTGGATCTGGGCTGCCTAAATGTCTTCCAGATTTGCTGGTTCAGGCAGTCAAACCTTCAGCAGGGATTTTAAATTTAAACATCTACCTTCAGAAAGGGGATGACGAACGGTCGCAGGGGGAAGTTGGTGGCTTCTTGGAGCTTGGAGTGAAATTCCTCGATGGTTAGCGTGGAATTCTGGAAGAGAGAGGGAGATGGAGAAAAAAACACATGAATACATGTGGAAAGCATTAAGTGATAATATTACTTATTGGAAGCTAAGCTGGATCCCGGGCTGCAGTGAATGGTTTGGGTTTTCTTAATAGGAAGCATGTGGGGCGAGCCACGGCGCAAAGAGCCACAGAAAACAAAGACACACATCTCCGTCGATTAAGAAAACAAACACACACACACAGGAGTCACATCATCGAGAAAATATGCTGCAGGATGAGAAAAAAAAGGTCAATTTTTTTCTTTTTACCAGACTTTTCCTTATTTTCATGAACTCAAATGTGAGTTTTTGTGGACTTTAACCTAAACTTTTCTTTGAAAAACAGTATTTGACGTTCATCTTAACAGCTCAGCGGTTTAAAGGCTCGTTGTTCCTACATTATGTCTGATAACAGAAAAGCTTTTGTCTTCCTTTTCTAAGATAATTGAAAAAATAATCCACATGTTGCACTAGCATGGTAGCCACGGTCTGTTAACACAGCAGAAGAGGAGCAGTTTGACTCCTCCAATTCCATGTGTTGAAATGTCTTTGAGTATGACACTGGCTGGCATCTTGGCACTTTGCACAGCAGCCTCTGTAAGCAGTGTCATCCATTTCTAATCATAGTTGTGCCGTCAGTACAAACCCAAACCCCTCGGTTTCTTATGCCAGAGTTTATGAGACTTAAGGAGATCAAAATGCATCACAGACAAAACACGTGCTGTATTTGTGTTTTCTGTATGTAAGCCTGCGCTCAGTTGTACTTTGCTGCAGCTGGTTGGTTCAGTAAACACTTTGACGCTGTGTTGAGTGCATAACAATGAGCGGGAGGCTTATTTTGCAGTTTATGCTGCTAGTATAAAATGACAACAAGAGATATGAGCACTCACCCATGAAGGACTTCTCATATGTTTTTCAAAAAGATCAATTTGCTGCATTAGTCTGACTGAAACTGGACTTTAAAGTTCATGTTAACACATTAATCTGACTGAAAGCGCTCTAAATCAAACTTCTCATAGCCGGACTAATGAACCTGGATTGTGCAATTCGGGACGGATTTTCTGTCACGTACACGACTCAATCAGACTGAAACTGGCCTAAACTCAAATAACATAAATGTGTTGCTAGGCAAGCTAACTGGTGAACAAAACCTTGATAAATTTTTTTTTACACAGTTCTGCAACTAATCTTGAATGTCTCTCTCAGATACTCGGAAAGCCAGAATGTAAGTATATGTAGTACTATTGAGAGAGGGCGCCCCTGAGCCATGAGTGCAAATGAATATATGAGTGTCACAGGCTAGGACAAAACCCTTTTTTTACTGCGTTACTGCTTGTTTTGCAGTTGGCCTATGGCGCCACATACCAAAACAATTGACAAACAGGTTACCAAGAGGCTCATAGGTTAATGTTGAACGACTTAACAGCACCTCGCTTTTTGTAGTTACGATATGACAGCTTTGTCTTTTTTACGTTCCTACTTCTTCCAATCAGGTTCTCTTTACTGTCCAGATTATTTACGTTTATTTACAGGTAAAAGTCTAACATAGGCATCAAAAGGAAATCAAATCCCATCTGTATTATCATGTTATGTCAGCCTGGCTATGAGAAGCTTGGCAAGCCAGACCCAGGTGTTTACATATACTTCAAAAGTTCAAGTTAGTTAAGTCAAGTTAACTGACTAATTTGATTTTCTAAACCACATGTAAACATCCTGACTGTGTTTGGAGCAGCAGGGGGTCTAAAGTAGGTTACGCATCACATTAGTTTGTCATTCGTCCACACCCAAACAGAGCCTCGCTTCTGTCTCACCTCCTTTGCTCACCTGTACGTCACATTAAAGTCTGACAACATGGCGGTGACACTGATTTTAATTGGAGCAGGAGCTGCTCAGAGAGTGCAGAGGAGTACGAGAGTGAGCAGGAGCGTTCACATGGGAGAAGAGTCTGCTCCATAACAAGCAAACATACAAACAAGGAAAGGAAAAAATCAAGCGAGACGTGGAAGAGAACATAAAAAAAGCAGCAGATATTATTTTTTCCTCCCCACACAGTCGGCGTTATTTCCCAGACCTGAATTTTGTTACATTCAGCCTTACATCTGTTCGCCCAGATTGCGTAGGGGCTGTTCTTGACAGCTAGTGAAACCTCCTGAGTCTCCCTCTCTCCCTCTCCGCCGCACACAAACCAGCTAATTAACGGTGTCACTCTTTTCAATAAGGTGGGGGGAGGGATGGGGAGACAGAGAGGAAGAAGAGGAGAGGAGAAGGGGGGGGTGCAAGCCAAAATGACACAGGAGAGGCATGTGCATATGCAGACGGTGAGAAAAATAAACACAGTGAAGCCAAAAGGAGGCTATGCTCTGTGAGGCTAATTAAAAAAATTCCTCCCTCCATCTCCTCCGCCTCCTCTTTTTTTTCTGCACTACATTCAATCACTATTTCTGTATTCCCTCTCTCGTTATGCTCAAATTTCCTCTGAGCTCACAGGCGTGTGATAAATCTGTAGATTTGCACATGTTTTTTCTTTATATAGCCTTCATATAGGCATGTCAGCTAAGCCGGAGACACACATCTGCCTCATTGAACCTCTCTTGGTTGGATGTATTTTGATATTTGTGAGCTTGATTTGCATCATATTTTTCTTATTTTTGCAAATGCCAAATCTTTGAGGAAGGAAGCACAAAAATTCTCCTAATGGAAATCCTTGCATGCATACTTTTTATCTCCTGCATTTTCTAGTTAATTCAGATAAATTCTAATTTAGCATCTGAATACTTTAAGGCTGAGTACTATCAAGGTGAATCATTTGCCATATTAGTGATGCTTTTAACGCTTCATTTTAAACCTGCAGTTGCCCTTTATTTCCTGGCAAAAATATTCATTTAAAAGCTTAATAAATTAAAAAGGTTTGATAATTGCTTCGGTGTACTTTGTTTTTTAAACCTGCATAACCTTGGCAAGTTTAATGCAGAAGCAACAAGCATAAAAATCCACCCTGTGCTCCTGGTTTCCTGTGTTATTGGGTGTTAAATTTGAATTTGAGTAAATCTAATCCAAAAAGCTACAGGTGCATAAAGAAATAGGTCCCCTGATTTGATGTTATTCTTCGTCCCTGAGGACAACACACTGCCATTGTTTTGCGAGGCATTGAATTAAAGGCTGCAAGGTTCTGATGGATATCAGTCCTTGAGGCAGAGATCTGCAAAAGTGTTTCTTTTACGCTCATGCCAGAGGGTCCAGATGGGTAAGGTTTCTGGTATGAGAGAATCATAAAGCCTCAGAGAAATACCCCTGAGGTTTTTTCCTAATCAGCGCTAAGTATTTCAAAGTATTTTAAGTATTTATCTTTTAAACTTTTCATGCAGTAAACCCCTCCATCTGGTCCCCCAGACATGCAGAACAAATGCTCAGAATTATGCTCTAATAGGCCTCTAATGGATTGAGTTAGTCCTGCAAACATAAGGGCCGGTGTCGACTTTCCCTCCATGAGCCCTTTAAACTCACACGCACACACACTGGCTCACACACACACTTGCTCACACAGTAGCCACTCACCACCAGTCCCAGCACTAATGTGCGGACTCGCTCGCCGATTTCAGGTGAGATGTCATTTCCGAACTGCTGCAGAGTCGTGAGGAAACGCTTCAGCTTGCTGAGCTGCCGGGCGCCGCAGGCCGGCGGCAGCTGCTGATTGGCCAGTGAGGATGAGGATGAGGAGCTGGGACCATTGCTGTAGCCGTTTGGGGGTGATGGAGCACCGTTGAGAGCCGTAGGAGAGTGGCTGCTGCCATTAGTTACTGTGAAAAACGAGAAAGGACAGAACAACATCAACACACAGGAGGGATTGAGACGATTTATCTCCTCTTGCTTGATTTAAGTTTTTTTTTTTTGGTATGTTAGCATTTAGAGGCCGAGATAATAAAAGATAGGTTTGTCCACAGGGGGCGCTAAAATTGAGACAAACCAAAAGTTCTTTTAAAATAACCAAAGCTTTATGAAACTTAAAAATGATAGCAACTATATTACTCCTAAAAAGCCCCTCTCTTTAAACTGATCTGACCACATGATACATCTCCTAAAACAGAGAATAGATGAAGAATAAGTAGCAGCTGCTTGTAAGTCGACTGTAGCATTTCTCTGAAAACAGATTTATTGTGCATCCTAAAAAACAGTCTGAGCTTGTGTCTCTTCAGGTGACTAATCAGTCGAACATTTGTACTTTCTAACTTTCCATCTGATATCACTCACTTCTGTATCCACCAGAATTGATGCATCATAAAATAAAAGCATAGTTTGACAATGCAGGAATAAAGCAACAGAAATGCAAGCATGGAAAATATCAATTAAAAGCTTCAGTTTCAGTCACAAGCTGATGATAAATCCAAATTTGAATAATATTAGAAACAGATCATGTAAGGTAATTGCTTTTATTCGTACACTTGAGGAATTTATTCAAATAAACAGAAATCAGCACGTCTCTCTTCCACAACAACAAAAGAAACAACAAACTTTTGATTTCAACTCACTGATTTGACTGATTTTCATCCCCCTGAAAACCTCCACCACCCTCCACATTTGTTTCTAATCCTGGCGGCCCGTTTGATCCTCTCATAAAAACATATTTCTGAGACATGTTGCCTCCTTTACCCTCCTCCTCTCCCTCCCTGCTTCCGTGCAGTCTAAACAAGTCGGGCAGTCCGACCCCCCATCGCGCCTGAGCACAGGAACAGTGTGTGTGAGCATGTTTGTGTGTGTTGGGGGCAGTTTGTGTACAAAGAGATACACGGCGGCATAAAGCTTTCCCTCTAATGAGATTAGGTTTTGACTAGTGATCCACTCACTCCCCCTCTGGCCGCCGTCCAATGCCGCCGCTGTAAAGAGAGAGGAGAGAAGAGAGATACTCAAACTGCATCTGCTAACAATTACGTCGGGTGGAAATCAAAGCGAACTGCTTTGTTAAAACCTTCGGCATGCGTAATGAGAGAGCCGGGGCCTTTCCTCCCTCCTTGCACGGAAGCCTAAATGTTAATTGTGGAGTGCGAGTGTTTAAAAGAAAAATCAAGACGGACAGACGGAAACAAAGAGAGGGAGAAAGTAAACAACAGTGAGGAGGAAGATGAGGAGAGGCAGTGATTGAGGGAAATAATGCCTAGATTGCAGAGGACCAGCACTTTTAATGCAGGCTTGAGTGCTCTGAGAGTTCTGAACCGCAGGGCCTTCGATTCTAGGGCCCTTCATGCGAGTGGTTAAGTATGCACTTCTGAGTGAATACTGGGGTGTAATTTGCTTGTCACAGGCGATGTACGCGTCATGGCAAAGCTCCAGCAGTTTGTAAGCGTGGGCGTTAATGAACTTGTTGGTGAGTTGCTTGGATGCCTGCGATTTGAAAAGGCAACTTGTTAAGGCGCTCTTGGCATGTTGAAGGATTGATGTTGTTGGAAAGTCTTCCTAAGAATAAGAAAATGTGTAAATCCACCGTCATTCAGAGTGCTGCTTTGCTGTGGTATTGCGTGACTTTGGTCTTATATACAGTCAGATGCACCTGCCAGTTTGCTATCCTCTTACCCTCCCTCTGGTTCCAGAAATCAGTGCGTCTCATAACAAAGACTTGTCCAAAACCTGCAGGGCCCCTGAAGTCCTGCTGTGTGATAACTTTTTTCTCGTGTGCACAGGAAAACAACTTGCACACACATAATTATAAGTTGTTTGCAGGGTGGTTGTGCATGCTGCTTCTTGCCATGTGTGACAGAGGAGTTATAAACATTCTCTTTTAGCTCTGCATGCGGTTTATTCTGATTGGAGAAGCACACTCAGCCCCTTACAGCCACTTTTGTAGTAGTAATGCGCAATAATCTAGCTAACTGTGGGATAGTGTCGTTACACCACAGAGATAAATGTTGTTTCTACACACAGCATACATCACATATTATTACAAAGGTGTTTGATGTCAGATTTGGAGGTTCTCTTGAACATTCTTCACAGTTAAGTGCCATCTTCATGAGGGAAAAATGACTGTTGTTGGCAGAGATTGACACTGCACTTAGAGCACACTTTGTTTCTCTCCAGTAGAAGGCGCTCATGCAGCACACAAAACATGGTCTCATAAAAGGAATCTTGTACACACAGTCTGAGCTAATTGTGCTCATTATAGTCAGCACTAGAGTTTCCACAGAGAGCGCCGTGGGGCGTCTTCGCTCCATCAGAGAGGTGTCACCCAACTCTGCTTCGCTCAAGATAATCGGCATGTCTATTTTGACTTTGCCCGTCTATAAAAAGCATTCAAACATTAAAAAAATCTTTCAAACCAGCACAAAAAAACAACAACTAACATTGTAGTGAAATCTGTCTCAACATAACACAGAGTAAAGATTAGTGATGTGCTGTTGCTCCAGTGAGATCAAATCCAATACATCCAATCTAATACAGAGAGATTTTCTGCTATACTTCAGTCACAGCACCTGCAGTGTGCCAGATTTCATTTGCCAAGGTTAGAAACGAAGGCAGACTAAAAAAAGACAAAAATAAAGCATTATGTTGCAGTGAAATGTTTAACAATAGTCTAGAAGTTAAGGAGAATTGATCCCCTCTTATTGCAGAGCTATAAACCTGTCTTCACTCACATGTGGTTGGGGTGTAGGAGCTGTTGCGAGGTGCTCCCTGTGTGCTGGGTGGGGGCGGCATGGTAGGGGGGGTCAACCTGGACTGTGTCTTGACGTCCGCAGGTGAGTCGGGCATGGTGGAGTGCTTCCCAGTGCGATCTGAAGGAAGACAAGCGAAACAGGCAAAAATTTAAAACATGTACAGCTGTATACCGGCTGAAAACTTCACTCGGGGAAAAAAACCACAACTGAAAGCTGCGTATCCCACATCTGCGCGCCAAGACAGGAGCTATATCTTCATTTGCACATATACAGCAGCAGGATTTCATTTGATATCAAAGTGCCTGTGAGGCAGACTTGTCCGAGAAATGTAGATGGCTAATATGTCTACATGTCTTGGTGACGCTGATGCATTTGCAAAAGCTGTGAGAAGGGAGATGAGGAGGATATAAAGGAGAGACCCAAAGACAGGCAGACAGACACTCTAGAGAGGAACATAAATCTCATTCCACGACCATCTGTGCCATCCTGCAAACCTGCTGCACAAAACAGCCTCTTCCACTGCTAACAACTGCAGTGCTCACACCCACACATGCCCACACGCATACACATGCATTGTCCTAATGCTCATAACTCTGGATCCTATATTCACATCTGTTTGCTATAAACAAGGTTGTCCAAAATAAGAACAGACTCAGAACAAGAGCCAATCATTCTCTCAATACCCGACAGAAATTTGATGGATAACGCTAGGGCTGGACAAAATGACTGCCAATTGTTAACATGATGAAGTTTGCAATATAAGTCAATATGTATAAGTATCATGGAAGATGTCAAATCACTTAATGAGGTTTAATTTAGAAACAGTTATTGATGCCAAGTTATGCTCAGATAATCATAAGTTCAGGTTTGACTCCCAGAAAACAAATTATCAATGAATAAAGAGATTGTATGGTTAGCTGCCTGATCAATATGACTTAATTCACCATTCATTTTCTTTTTTTGCATTAAGCTCCTGTGAACATTATTTTTGAAACTTCATGGAACAAACTGTAATTCAAATTAATGTTTTTCTGTGACCTAAAACTGAAAACTAAACTAAAATAACAATAACATCAGTCACATGTCTGCAGGGTTTTTATATTGTTATTCTTGAGACCAGAAACTGGTGGTTGGGGGTAGGTGTCAACTTGTGCTTGGGAATATAACCTAAAATTCACATCATATAACAGTATATAACACAATATAAAATGGTGTAAAAAGTGCAAAAATTATAATGGAGGTGTTTCTGAATGGGTTACTTTGTTCCCTAGCCAAGCCAAATTGTTAAAAAAACAAACAAACAAAAAACGTATTGTAATTTTGAGAACATTTCTTTTGCAAATCTCAAAACTCAAAATTAAAACTCAGCACTCTGGTGCAAAATAGTGCAAACAAACAAATGACATTGCTGATACTTTGAATAAACACAATACAACTGGCTGTTTTCTATAACACAAAATAGAGAAAATGTTGTCAACGACAATTGCAAAAGAACAAAAATAAAGTGGATATTGTAAGCAGTACTTGAGGTAAAAGAGGTTTTCCATAACGCAAATGGCAAAAACAGTAAAAAGGTTGCCAACAATAATTATTCACTTCAAGAACACAATTATAAACTGAATATTGTAAACAGAACCTCAAGTTCGACAGATTATTTTCTGTAATGCCAAATAGTGCAAAAGTTATCAAACACTAATTTTTCTACATCTTAAAGAACATGAAAAAAAAAAAAAAAATCTAACATACACTGCTTTAGGTACAACAGCTTTTGTTCTGTGATGCAAAAGTGTTACACGGCACTATGTATCGTGGATCAAGTGTTTTAATCATGTCTTCAAGGCAGATACAACAACATCATCAACAAATGTTATTGTGATTGGTTGGTAGAGTCCAAATCTCAACCGTAGGCCAAATCATGTTCATCATGATGAATTAATATTGGTGCCCCACTGAGTCAAGTCACAATATATCAGTGTGAATATTATGTTTATTTTGCAGATGAAATTTGTTTTTTTTAGAAAGAAATTTGATGCATAAAACATTATCAGAATAATTTTCAGGAGTTACAGTTGAACCTTATATGGACATAGTCCTTAATGCAGCCAGCCCAAGTCGAAATCAGTCCCATGGTACCTTTCCACTCTCATTTGCCAGCTTTCTGCTTTATCAACCATCCTACCTTCTGAATAAGGCACTAAAGGTCTCAAAATAATCTTTAAAATCAAATGAACGTGATATTTTCGCAGATCTTGCCTGTTTTTGTCTTGTTCGGTTGCATCGTGCTGGGCCAGTAAGGGATCCCGCTAGTGTGTGAGAAAAATAACAAAGCTTAATCTTGCCGTTTTATTAGGGTTAAGCCCATATTTGCAGGATAAGATACACAACTTTTCTCAGTACGGGCAGTAACAAAACTATCCCAGAGCTAACAGACTGTTATCAACAACCATTCTGCACATTGTGAACAAGAGATAATCCAAAAAAAAGGAGGAAGGAGAGGAAAGAGGATGGAAGGAGAAAGGAGGGAAGGGAGGAGCTGCAAAAGAAACAGAACTGCAACCTGTGACTTTGGGATCATGTATAACTGTAATCACAGCGAGGGCATGTGCTTTAGCTCAACTCACACTTATCAGGCAACAACATACACTGGGACCAGGGTGGTAAGGGGGAATGTTCCAGAAAAAAGGGTGGTTCCTATTACGAATTTTTCCCAAGACCAAAGAGTGTGTTTATGTTTTTCATATCCTGTTATGCAGTTTTATATTTTGCATATAATTACAGCTCTTTTTATATTATCACCCTTCAAGTGTTTACACTACAGGCTCTGTGAATGTGTGTTTGAAGAGACCCTCTATGGTAACAGCTTGGCTCCTCAGCGTTAAGTTTAGGTGACATGAAAGAGAAACTCTGATGTGAGAGAGACAGGATATCCTAAGCCTGTTAGCTTGGCTCAAGCCACAGTAGCTCTGTGGCTGTCTGCTGCCGAGGTGAACTGTGACTAAGCATTTTAGTCACGCTAGCTCGGCTTTAGCAGGCTGGCGAGTGAGGGATGGAGATGTCTCTGAAATTATAAACAGAGAGCGGCTCTATATATCTAGTTCCAGATTGAAGGTTCGGGTCACTTTTGTTTCTTCTGTGTGATGACCCTTTGAATAATGAAAAGAAGGGACGTAATGCCAATGAATGAAACAATCACAACAGGAATTACTTTCATATTACAGCAAAACAGTCTATAGAAAGACATCACGGCAAGATTGATGTTTTTCAAGACACAAGCTGTTCATACCAAACTAAAACCACTGCCAACGCACTGACGTTTATACTTTGTACCACGTTTGCAACCTTGGAACCGATGTCAGACAATGATATGGTCTCGAAGGGGAGGAAAGCCAACTTATCGCAGTGATTAAAGGCTCCTGGCTAAGACTCCTGAGACGTTGCCATTGATAACAACCTGATTGAGGAGTTGGTGTTGAGAGAGGTTTTTTTTTTTGCCTCACTTGTATGAAAATATCTGTTAAAAGTACTCAAAGTGGCATGATCAAAAGATGACTGTCAGTGAGTTGCAGGACTGCGGGGTGCTTTATGTCCCTTTGCATTAAACAAAGTCATGCATATAATCATGCATGCTGCAGCTATCCTAATGGCTATTTGCTGAAGACAATGGAAATACTGAGTGTGGCAAAGAGACCCTAGACTGTTTAATACATGTACGCAGTCATACTGACATCAGGTATTTGTTTCAGAAGAGGTGTTATGCATAACTTACTTGGCTGTTGCTAGATGGAAATGCTGGCTGTCTAACTCTAGGCCACTTTTTGTGCTAGCACCAAGTGGACACCTGAGGAACTGCACCCAAAGTCCAGTTTGTTCAGCCAATGGCACGGTTGGAAAAGTTGGACTTAAGCACAGTGCAGTTGCTAACACGCTTGTGCAAGCACAGCTCAGAAAAGCAACAGATTTTTCTTTCACTCTCACCTAAATGCCACATCCACATAACGGTCAAGATAAAACAGCGGGATATGATGTTGTAATGCTTTCAGGTTTGTTCATTAAAAGCAGTAGAAAAACACTTGTCAAATAAATGTTAATAAATGAAAGGGGAAAAACAAAAAGGTGGTTCTAGTACTGGCTGGAGTAGGGGAATCAATGATTAAACCGAGCATAATATAGGCTAAGTTGTCAGCGTGTATGAAAAGTATTGATCAGCATTACAGTCTCCCACAAGCTGATCAGGATGAAGTTCAGAGAAATTTTCTCTACATTGACTTACAGGAGTAACAGGAAGGGCTCTGCTGCCTATCCTGGCCCTACAGATGAAGTAGAAACAGTATTGGAAACAAACATCTTTTCCCTCTTTCATTGGACACTTTATAGTACGACATATGTCACATTTCCTCAGGATACTGGAACTTGGAACTGGATCACCTACAGAGTGGTGATCAGAGGGAAACAAGGAGAAGGATTTGGAAAACAGAGGATGGATAAGTGAAGGTGACAGAAGAGTCAGAGTTAAAGGGAAAATAGAGAGAAAAAAAGCAACTATCCAAATCTATGGAGATCTACTCAGTGTGCTGCATGTCTGCCTCTTTCTCTGTCACACACATATTAAAACACACACATGCACTCACCATTTCTGCATGCGCCCAACCTGGCAAGACACAGAAAGGTTTACTGCTCTAATTTCACCACAGTAAAAGAGTCTGGACCTGACTATTTATTTTATAAACTCAGGATACAGCCAGTGAACAGCCAGTGGAAACATATAGCCTTACCTCAGGCTGCCAGCTATCATATCCTGTGTGCCTGCCTAAAATATGATCTGTGAAAATAAAAGGTCATTAAAAATGACGGCCGGGCGACGGGGCCCAGGGTAATTCATCATTTTCCAGTCAAACACAAAGAGCCTGCATGTGGACGCTCAACAAGCCCAAGCGAAATACAGAGAAGTTAGCAAATCGCACATGGTTCTACTTACGCTGTTTCTCTGGATCTTTGAGCTCATGCTTGAACTGGTTCTGTTTGTTGACTTTGTTATTATGGGGTCTTTCCTGGCCCAGTTTGCACGTCCTATTGTGAGATAGTAGGACTCAAATCGGATCCAAATCATCCTGTAACAACCTAATATGTTTTCAACTTTGAGAGAAAAGTTGACATTTCAAATGTCTCACATGAACACAAAGTAATTTGAAATCAGATACTAAACTTCAGAAGTCTGAAAAGTGCAAAGCAGATGATAACGAGCTTTTTAAGAATGAATCTAGAGGAAAAGGGGGATTTTAAGAGATGACTGAAGCATTATTCTCTGGGGTAATGTCAATTTATCTCCTCAGATTCATTTTCAGTTTCATTCATCTCCCCTCCTCTCATTAACCACATAAACTGCAAGACTGAAGAAGTGAAAATAATTACTTAATCGCTTGTTCTCATACACAGTTGACATGCATGATGGAGAAGGGTTTAACTTTGATGGTAGTTGGCGCAAATAATTATGGATCATATTTCTTTCACTTGTTTCTAGTGTATCATGTGCAAAGGGACATATAAAGAGAGACAATGTGGCTCCTCTTATAATTTGACATTTCTGACACTAAAACACAAACAGGTTGTTTCACCAAGTAAGGAACCTTCCCAACAAAACAAAAAAAAAGGACCAACCAAATGGAGCCTCCTTGCACATACCAACAACACGCCCAACTGTCAGTGAGTAAAGCCATGCATTCAATGTACATTGAAATGGGAGCTAAAGGAGTTTCCTAAGCTGTTTGCAACAAGTGACACTGAAGGGAGCTGCAGTTTTTGCACAGAGTCTGAACATTGTATTGGAAAGTCATTACGAGTAAGCAGAAGTGAAAACATACATTATGGTATTAAAATAAGTTTTTTCTTTGTTTTATGAGAATTTTATGAGAATTCATTATGGCTAATTTAGAAGGTTTGGTTTCAAAATAAAAGCTGTCTAAGCTACTGCACTGCTTCATTTTTATATTTGTAGAAAGCTTCTGTGTAGCTCATTCAGTACAAAATCTATGATGAGATTGGGTTTCCAAATGACAGAAATATTTTAATCTCCTACTGGAAACCAAAGGGTTAAAAAGAACAGAGCATTGTTGTCCCTACCGTGCCATATATAAAAGTTAACAAGATCATTCAAAGCACATAAATATGAAACATAAAAGGGATCAAACAGCACAAATGCATAAACTGGTGATCCATCTGGAGTCAAGCGTGCAGCCGAAGACCCTGCGGCAGCATGAAAAGATGAGTTTAGTTCCAGGCTTGTAATTGGGGATTAACACCTGGGTCAGTGTTATGATTGGGCGGCAGTAGTCAGAGGAGATGAGAGAGACGTAAACCCTGAAAGCGTTTCAGACTCCACAGTCCCTCAGGGGGAGAAGATGAAGGATAGAGTGTGAAATCCATGTATACAGCAAATACATGCACATGCACCCAGGCAGGAACATGCTCCCTCTCTCTTTCTCTGCTTTTATTTCACACACACACACACACACACACACACACACACACACACACACACACACACACACACACACACACACGATTTACACACAGCATCTTCTCAGTTTCTAATATGATTGAGACCACTGCAAAGCATATAAACAGAATAAAATCAATGGCTTCATTCTAACCAACAAGGTCTGCACCCGACCGTTCACTAACAGTTACTCTGCCAATTGAATCAATAGCAATACACCCTCTGCAAGGTAATTTAGCCAGTCTTTGGGAAAAATAAAACTGCATCTTACCACTGGAGCACATTGCTGAAAACAGCTCAGGGCATGTATGTGAATGTGCCATACATTTTCATGAGCCGACGGAACTCTTTTGTGCATCTCGAAAAATAAAAAATACATGTGCAGACGTCAACAGGCAAGCCCTCATTTTATTACAGCGGTAGAACAAGGCTCAACAATAGCGAGCACTCGCTGCCTCATGCATAATTCAATTTAAAAAAGCACCACCTGAATAAGCAACCTTAAACAACCTTGAAAACAAAGTCTCCTCCAGCCTAATACGTCTGTTAAAAGTTAATGGCCGAACTTAATGCACATCTATTGTCCATTTATTAGCCCCTTTAGCTCGCCATCATCGCAAACTGTAGCTAAACCAAGGCTGCGGCTAGCTGATGGATGCTATTCCAACACTGGGCGGGTTATTGATGTGCGGAGCTCTAATGGAAAGGGTTTGATAAGTGCTTTGACTTTGTCTAACTGGCTTTACGACTTCTGAGAAGTGCTGTTGTCCAGACATTAATGGACGGGAGAGGATGAGGACGCTTGTTGAAGAGGCAGCAATTAGCCGTAAAGGAAGAGAAGAGGCTCTCAGACGTGTGTTGATTCACTCGTGCGCTCTAGGTGCTAAAGCTATCGATGATCATGCGTATGGATGACAGTGATTAATGCCTTGCAACAGCCTTTCGCAGAGTGTGGTTTTGTCTGGAGCATCGTAAAGGTGCTCTTAGCGTAAATGTTTGCAGTATAAGTGGGCTCCAAGAGACTGAAACCCATGAGGATTCCAGCGCTGCAGTGGTACCTCATTATAGGAGTTTGGCATACTGTTACCAAGCTATCATACAAGTGTCAGAGGTAATTACACTCATATCTGGCTAAATTATGAGCTCCCATGAGGGGTGAAGTCCTGTTTGCTTTGTCTGTATTAGGATTACAATGACAGGAACACTGACAGGAGTGGAGATGTTCTGACCATCATAAAATACGACTTCGCAGCTCCTGAAAAGGTTTGAAGATCCTTTTGGCTGTTTGCCTCCTCCATGTTGACAGATGGGACATGAGTCGAACTTTAAACTTAAAATACAAACCCCCTTTGCAGACATACTCACGGTGTCTATCACTATAAATAGTTTGCATCATGATTTTTTTACGCCCACATATCAATGAGAGCCTTGATTAGTCATTAAAGCTACAGTTGGTGACATTATTCTATTTAAGTGTTGATTTTAGCAAGAATTTAAGGATCCCTGTTTTTTTCATTCCCCTCCCCACTAACATGAGTTTCCGGCATTTACAGTTATAGGAAAAATGTGTCAGTGTTCCTGCTGGTGGTGGGCTTGTTCACTTTTGTAGGTCATAAAGAAGCGTCAGTATTGAGTTCACTCTGTTTTAAAACCAATTAAAACTCCTCACTTTGCCTTTAGCTAAAACTACTTCTGATTATTGCATTTAACTCATAATATTTCATTGGAATCTTCTTTTAAATAGATGAGTGTCTGAATTTGATGTGGGGGCTTATGCTTTGGAAACAATATGCAACTGTGGTAAAGATTAAGAATTCAGCAAATTCAGTTACAATTATTATACAGTTGCGTATCAGTCCTGTGATGGCTAACCAATCAGATGGTGTTGTGGGAGGGTCATTAGGCGAGACAGAGGGGTGAGTGAAAACAGACCCGAGAGGAGCCAAAGAAGCGCACTTTTCCATTTAAGGCTGTTTAACAGTATCTAAAAGTCTATCATCTTAAAAGGTCTCAGTTCACTTATCCAACACCAGTACAGAGTTTGTCACTAAAAGTTTGGATTAAAACACTTTTCCTTTGAGTGATTTGGCATCTGCTTTACTATCATTGATTTGGGCTGGGTAAAATCCTAAAAATCTGACTAGATTTAAACAAGCCAAATATTTTGCACACTAACTGACCGAAAAATGGCACCAAAGTCCTCAACTGTGTTGGGAAACTCTAGAAAATTCTGTTTTAAAGTCTAAAATTTGATTCTAGGGTCCCTGATTTTACCCTGTGGCTGTTTCATTCTCATGTTAAATGTGAGTTTTAGGGAAAGGGGCAGGACATCAATACTAGAGTTGGGAAAAGGGTTTTCTACTGTGCAGACTCAAGCTCTTAAAGCCAAGGATGTCAGAGCTCATTGCAAGAGAAACCTGGCATTACTTCTCTGCGTCAGCCATCTTTATCTGCAGTCAGAGGTTACAGTGCTGCACAGTGAGAAAGCTTTTGGAGCAAAACACACTTTCACAGCCAAACAATGCTTTTCTTTTTGTATTGTCAGAGATTGCGAGTCTTTGCAGAGTGGGTGCTTCAATCAAAAGATGTGGAGTTTGAAAGCTTCGAGTTGGCTAAAGGGGGAGAATTTCTCCATATTTCACAAGAAAATAGAACAAGGGAAGTTTACGAAGCCCCAGGTTGCGAATCCACATTCGAAACACGGCATTGTAAACTGCAGAGTTCTTGTTGTCTTCTCTTGAGAGACAAAATCACACTAACTGGCTTAATATCCCTTAAAACTTATGGTCAAAACCTCGCTGATAATTAAGAAGCAAAAGTAGATTCGCTCTTGTTTGTTACATCTCTAATCTCCTCACAATCTCCCCTCAGGCGCATCAAGTGCTCCTAGAAATGAGGCAGAACCCTGGACAACTACCTGCCACTCACAAAGATGTCTTCACTCTTACATCAGCCGTTTGCATCGCCTATGATTACGTGATCCTCAATGTTTGCAAAATCTCTCTCTTTCTTTCCTTCTGTCTGTCTGTCTGCCTTCGCCTTTCTCCCCCTCTCGCTCGTAACCCTCTTTCAGCAGAGCTCAAAGAAAAGAGATTTTATCCCCCCGCTGACTTTTCATACACGCCTTTTTTCTAAGGTTACATGCAAGTTACATCACTTGCCTAAAACAAGGTTGTTGCAATGAAAGATATCTAGAAGGAATGCGGTCCCTGAGAAACAGTTCAGAACGCTACAGAGAGGACTTAGCTAACCCGCAACTCGAGGCAGAAATACAATGTAATATCAAAACCACGCATTTCATCATCACCTCACAAAGCTAAGAGGTCATTCTGCATTCAAATCACCTCATGAAACAGGGGCAACATCACCTAACCTTGATGTTTTCCATCATTCACAGGCACTACAATGACTTCAAAGTCGATCATCAGGAGATAGCGGCAAACCATCTCAATTACACACCTCATAGGCTGCGATTGCTGCTTTGTGTGCGTATGTGTTTGCATGATTGCGTGTCAGTGCATTGTGATTGTACAGTCGGAGGCCCAGAAAATGATGTGATAACAGCGACAGTAATACCCCACTCGAGACTACTTCACACAGGCAAATCCAATTCTTCAAAACGACAATGGATTTCAATCACGCTGGGCGAATTTTAGAGAGTCAGCGGCTGCGACATAAACAATTTACGGTGCAGCGGTGCCTGTGTGAGTGCAAGATCGTATTAGTCAGACATAAGATATCATCATTATGAAGTTAAATGGAAAACTGCGCATGCACTGACCTGCTCATGCCCCGCACACACGCAGCAGTAAACATACATGTGCACAATGCAAACACTGATATGTAGGTGTTAGAGTGAAAACCATAAGCGCTGAAGCTGCAGGAAGCCTGTGAATGGAGCGTTAATGTCTGCAACAGGACTATGTGTGCGCATGATGGTACCTCTGGGTGTGTTTTACCCTCACACACATTTGCACACACACACGCACACACTGCACAGCAATGTGTGAAGTGAGTGAGCAGGATAGACAGGTAATGGAATAGATGAAGCGATACAGAGATGCTGTGATAGTGGCTTGTGTTGATTGCTCTGTGTGCAGGGTACAGATGTGAAAAGAGGGACGAGGGACGGACACAGGAGAGGGATAAAAATGGAGAGAACTGGAGAACGGATGTGTTAAAGAACGCCGCTGAGGGACAGGTGGGACGATTTAGATTCAGGCGGCATACGCAGAGAAACAAGAGAAATCCATCGGTATGCAAGCGTGGTCACCCCTCTCCTCTTCTCATCAGCCTGCTCCTCTAGAGCATGCACACACACAAACACGCACACAAACACACATAGAGTCATCCAGATGGAGCAGTATGCAGAGCATGTCCCATCAAACTCCACCCGCTTGTCAAGAAGATGTATGGATGCAACGCCCTACCACAAACACACACACAAGTGCAAACACAGACCCACAGCTGGATGCACAAATTGAAAACAAAACAGCACAAGTCTCTCACACTCACACGTAAACACACACACATATTCATCTGATTTCCATCTTTGTATTTTCCTCTGCAGCAGATGCAGAAGAGAGCAGCACCATCATCAGTTTGTACCTTTAAGCTGTGGGTACAAACATTACCCTCGACGATTCCTGGAGTCATTCCATACCTCAACCAATTTTAGATCAAGAAGGGCTTTGGACACAGTCTGCAATAATATCCCATTGTTGTTACAGTCTGTTTTATATAAGAAGTAATCATACAGCATGCAGGTTTACAGTCAGGTGCTTCCCACACTGACAATCAGATCTGGATTAAAATTTATCACATTTATCTGATTTAAATTTTGATTACAATAATGGCTCCCCATGATCATGAAAATATCATATTACTTTTTGCTTGCCATGTTGTTCTTGAAGAATCAGTTGTTCCTGATCTGTCCATATCATAGACTGTACACAGAATGGACACCATTTGCCTCCTTGGTAAAGCCACTTTGAGAACAGCACCCTCTGGTGACAGCCTGCAGTATAGATCATAAATCCCACCTCCTCCAGCAATCCATATAGAGCTGTGGACAAACTTAAGAAATTTATTACACAGAATATAAATTTTTCTCCCCCCTGGTTACGATGTTGACATGTAGTTACTGTAAGACTGGTTTGTGCTCAAGTCCTCTTTTTTCTGTGCAGCTCCATTTTTAAAAGTTTTTAGGGGGTTCATGTCTTCTATGATTGACACCTGATACAGCCTATGGGCATACAAAGTTTACGTGGCTCACTCTGGGATACGCTGTTTGAGCTGAGTGTCATAACAGCGACTCTCCTGTCGAAGGCGTACAATGCAACTGCGCAAGTGGTGGTTCCAGGAAGTGGAGAAAATCCTGGAAATACCGAAGGCAATTCTGCTTCAAATTCCTATAATGATGGAAGGCGGAGCCAAGTTGCCCATAGTATATACTGTCTATGGTCCATATACTGTATGATCACCATTTGGGATCCATAATTACCTCCCCATCATGCATCACTCTGGAGTCACTTAGCTCTTTGTCTTCAGTTTCAAGTGTCCTGTCCTTTTAATCCTGACACTATTCCGCCCTGTTTTCAGGAATAAGAGACTTTAAGGGTTGAATTGTAAAACTGAGCTCTCACACACTTCCATTTCCCACCATATCTGTATTTCCCTCTCGGTGCAGCATCGTGTGTTTACACTTTGTCAAGCCAGCAAAGACATAAGGAGATTTCTCAATTGCACACAAAGGTCTGAACACCATCTGTTCCACCACACAAACATGAACGCACGCATCGTGCACGTCTGCACACAAACAGAAAAATACATAAGCCGAACACACAAATCCTCTTAAACACCTCCAAGCACACACGTATGCACACGCTGGAAAATAAAACATATGTGGCTTATAACACTAGAAGTCCTTCACTCTTTGTGAAAAAATGGATTTATAGTAATGTCTGGTTTGCCCATCTGTTGAAATAAAGTCTCTCTTGCAGAGGAGAGGGGAAGCAAGTGTTAAGGAACAATAAAAGTGATTCACAGTGCCAGTTACGCGAGCTTTCAAAACGAACAGATTTCTGCCACATCTTGTTGCCAGGGAAAATTGAACTACAGGGTCTTGTAAAATAAAGACAGGCACAGGGAGTAAGTCTGGGAAGAAAACAGAAAAAGAGGGTGGAGAGGGTGAAGGAGTCATTGGGAGGTAAAGGTAAAGAAAAAACATGTGGATGTATATAGAGTGATGACAAAAGGGAGAGCTTTGTGTTATCACAGCATTAAACAACGCAGGAACAGACATTTTCCCGCTTTGGGCCGAGCAGGGATCAACATGTTTGGAAAATCTATCAGGATCATTGTTTATTTTGATAAAGCTGGCCTGTCATTTTCATTAACATTATGTCAAAATGACGATATAAATGTTGCTGTTTGGGAAGGCAGATATAAGCTTTGGTGAGTAGTCCTGTTTGGCCGTCTGATGGGAGCCAGCCTGTTGAAAATTGCTTTCAGTATACAGCTTGCTTCATTTCTGATGCCATGCTGATGCCGAGCCAAGTGAACCCAAATGGATCTGGGTGTTTTCCCAGGCAGGACTCTGTGCCAGCAGGAAAGGACTCTCACAAAACACTTAACATTCATCCTTACGCTGACGACACATGGCTTTATTTCTCTAAGCTCCATGCACATTTAGTGCTCCAGCTTTCTTGCCATTGTGATTCAGTATCTGTTGTGTGGCTGAGGATTAATATCTTTGCTACATGCATACTGTGGCATAGTATTTGAGAACAACCTCACTTTGGGAGCCTCACTAAAAGTGGTCTACTCTTGCACTCATGGGCGTGCGAATGCAAAGCGTTCCTGCTGCCAGAGCTGAGAAAAAGTGGATCAAGAACACACTTATAGGAATTCTCCAGGGACTGCTGGACTCTTGTAGCACAATTTAAAACCACTGATGCTTCCACTCAATCACACTGATATGCACACATGCCCAAGCCTCTTTTATTTCACTACGAGCTAGCGGGAACCCTTGCTCTTAGCCTATTTGTATCTGTCTGCGCTTATAGGAATCATATACCTGTCTTCAAGACGAAAAATCAATTTTCAACAGACAGTAAAGGCCCTCGTGTTTTACATGACACTTATCTTTTACTATGTGGAGAGAGAGACAGAGGCACCGAGGGAGGGAAGGGGTGCATAAAGTGATATACAATACAGGCTAAGTGAGAGTGCAGTCGCTGAGTGTGATGGGGAGGAAAACAGACACACATGAAAAGGCAAAACAGATGTGGAAAACAGAGATTTAGAAAGAGAAAGAGGTGAGGGAGCTGAAGTACAGAGAGATAGCATTAAGCGCCTATGAGAGACAGATGGGGGAATCAAACGTGAGGGGCAGAGGGCGGCACAGCGCAGAAAATAAAGAGGCCAGAGGTTAACAGTAAGGGAGGAAGGATTTCTCAAGGAGGGGGGGAGGACGAAGGTAGGAGCGGGGGGGGAGCTGCCTGTCTGCCTGGTGTTTTCAAAATATCACATGACGGCTGCCATGTGTTGGAAATTACTTCTGGTTAACTATCCTCCCTGAAACCGCTACAAAAAAATATGTCTGCAATTTCTGAAATGTGTTCCAGGGCTCTGCTAAGTCGAACCAGATTCTCAAAACAGAAGAAAAAAACCCTTCACCCCTCAAACGCCTCTGCTCCAAAAACCGCTACTCTTTCTTTCCCTTTAGGCTCCCTCCCTCCTCTTCTCCTCTCCTCTCCCCTGAAGGAGGAGATGTTTTAAAGTGAATCTTAGTCACATCTGGCGAGCAGGGAGCCAGAGAGTGCTGGTTGGTGTGACCTCGCATGAGGGCACCTCCATGCTTACAAAGTGTGTGTCAGTGTGTGTGTGTGTGTGTGAAATGGTGACCATGGTTTGCTAATGGCTCTGTGTGCCTGGAGGGAAACACACACACACACACAAAGCACCACGACAACCATTCCAGGTCAGCTGTGGGTCTTTGTCTCCTTTCATGTAACTATCCCTCTCCGTCCCTTCGTCTCGGCTCCCTCCATCGTTTCACATTTCACTGCCTTACCTCGCTGCCAGCCTTCATACATCTGAGTCCACTGACAAACATGAGGAGAGGATCTTAAAATAGGCAACAGGACAAGTTCACCACAAAGCTTTGACACACACACTGACCTGTGAAACAGCAGTAAAAAAGACAAGTGCACCAGAGTGACTGCCTGACAATATCTGCATTTCTATTTGAAGTATATATGATCATTTTTGTGGATTCAGGATAGAAAAGCATCTTAATTTTGGATATGGTCAAGAGATACCAGATAGTTGGAGGGGAGGTCAGCAGTGGCAGGTTTGTAATACTGCCTTCAGGTAATTACGACACTTTTAGGGTAGTGACACCATCATTTCATGCACACTGGGTAATGCTGCCAATTTCAGAACATGAGTGATATTCATGTTGGTAATAATATTGACCTGCAGACACTTAACAACATAATTTATATCACTTCTTATCCTGTAACAGCTTTATATTTTAAATGATTTAAAAAAAACATGTTATCATTTAAGGGGTCAGCAGCCATTATGACATTATGAGTATAGACATGGACAAGTGCAGGTCATTTTAAAATTGTTTCAATCTGAATGTATTATTTGGGTATATATTTGAATAAGGGATTGCATTGGTTGAGCACTGGTATAGGCAAAAATCGGCCCTGTTACAGACCCACTCCAATTAAAATCATGGTTTTCTTGTTGGCTACAGGACATATCATGACAAAAATTGCATTTCTGAGTATTTCTGTATTGAAATCGCTGTGAATCTCTGGCAGACCCAAACGGCAGGCTCAAATACAGTGAGATTTCCTACGTAGCAAATCCAAACACCACCCCCAGAGCCCCGCTATGCAGGCCAGACTCAGAGAAGTAGAGAGGACAATCACGGAACAAGCGTGTGCGGTAGCAGATTGCAATGTTCGTAAGAAAGCTAATTGTTAGATTAACTTTCATCATGTCCCCAAAGACATGAGTGTCTGAGAACTGAAAAGCTTCTATGTTACCTGCTTCTTCTACTACACCGGCAATATTAGGCTGCTAGCTAGCATGAAGAGGAGTGTGCAGAGAAGCGCTGTCTCCGCCCACGACTCATGAGCTACTGGAGCTCTGAAGAAGAAAAGTCCTTGAAAATGACACAGGTAAGGTGATTTTGGCTAAAAACTTCATATCACAATTTAAGGATCACTGAGAACACTTAAAGTAGTGAAAAAAAAAAAAAACGATCGGAGTGGAACTTAAAATGATACTATGTCAGCAGATCATGTTACATGTACCAATGTCAGTAGCTAGAATTTATCAACATCCTGTAGCGTCAGGGCTAGACTGATTATCAGCTCTGGCTGATTATTGGGGCATTTATCTGATTATCTGTATCAACCTTTTATTTAACAGACAGTCAATAAAATTAATTAATTCTAAGTGTACCACTATGGCTGTAACCACTCTGTCTGATCTAATCTCCTGCTCTCAATTATCACACTATCTAATTGGCTAGTTGTCACACCACTGTGGTGTTACTGTATCTGAACAGTAAACTCCTTTATATAATATTTTTTGTTTTAATATAAGAGCTGATAAAAGCATTTAAAGAAAGTTTTGTGTCGGAGTTGTAACATCTGAGATTTAGATTATGGCAAAAAGTTTTTCTGTTTTTGTTGTTAAACCAGATCAAATACAAGTGAACTCATAATAATTGGAATTAGCATTGGCCCATATGAAGTATGTAGTATCTTCATCACATCGATGTAAATCTGGAGAGCTATTACACCTTCTTTGTAAGAAATCTATATGAGGCAGAAGACGTCCCCTGCAGTACAAATGGATTTAATTAATGACCAAATGAAAGAAAACATGTGCAGTATGAGGGTATTACACAGTCTCAGAGAAAGATCGAGACATTCAGTATGTGGGACATGTTTCAGATAGACTTTTAGGGAGGAACTGGAAAATATTTAAACACATCTAACCTCATAGCTGATTTAAAATCCAGACACAACATTAGAAAGAAATCATGCAAAAAACAGCTGCATCGGTCCTGATTTTCAGGATTGGTGCATCTCTAATAACAATAATCTAGAACATGAGGCTGGTGATTTAACAGCTGAGCTAAACTGATGCTCCAATTCATCTGAAAAACAAAAGTTTGGTACAGAGTGAACTCGAATTTTAATAAAATCAACTTAACTTTGCTTTCAGTCTCATAAAAATCACATAAAAACGTCTCTGTTCTGTTAATGCTCAAATACGTAATAATAATAGTATGAACTTCTCAGCCCTTCTTGTTCTAAATCAGCCAAACTTTACTCAGAGTTTGGTGTTGACTCCTCACTGTGGGACACATCATCCACTCTTTGTTTTGCAGGAGGCTCTTTATGTCACTGTCTTCCTGTGGTCCACCAACCTCTCTGAACCCTGTCCCCAAACTGACCAATAATACACCCAACTGCAACAACCTGACAGTCCTTTTGTTTTGTGTCTCTGCTGCATAAACACAAACACAGTCTCTCACACACTCTCAGCCTCAGACACACTGCCTAACCGCTCTCCAGTGCTACAGATGGATGCCACCACTCTCTCTGGAGCCGAGCCAGCGCCAGCTAGTGAACAGCTTGCCTGGCACAGCGCTCAGCCTGTGTGTGTGTGTATATGTGTGTGTATGTGTGTGTGTGCCTGCAGAAACAGTAGCAAAATATCCAAGCACAGATGGGTGGCCAAAATACCCCCACCACCGCCACCCCACTCCCCTCCTGCTTTCACACAAACACACAGGAATACAAACACACACCTACAAACATGCACACACATATGCTTCAAAATGGAGACACACACACTCTCACACACACACAGAAGCGCAATGTCTCGGTTTTGCTTAAGTGTTCCCGACCTGGCACACGCTGCCACTTGCACAGCTGCTTCCTCAGAGACATACCCACACACACACACAAACACACACACACTGTAGACGTAGCAGAGAATTGGATTCACACACGCACAGTGCATCTACGCAGAGTTTACACGTCCTCATCTTCCTGTTTAATGCATAGGAAGTACAGTCCACACACACACACATATAGTGCCACTATTATCCAACATGAAAGAGCTCACACACACACACACACACACACACACACACACACACACACACACACACACACACACACACACACACACTTAAACGAAGCATTCTCCTCGGTAGCTCTTCAGTCTCGTACGTGTCGGCTTGTTTTCTCCACACAGAGAAAAACATCAAGGCGTTGAGTTGGAAAGCCTCCAGAGCTGGCAGCTCTCCAGCGTAGGCCTATAGATCAGCGTGATCATAGGCGTATGTTAAGACACATCACTGTTTAATGATTTGACAATGAAATTAAGACATGAAAGCTTTTGCTGGAACAATAAGAATCAACAGAACGTAATTACGATGCAGCTGTGTTCGGTTAGAGCTCTTTGAATGCACAAGGTGTGATGTGAATCCCTCTGACAGGCAATCTGATGCTGCTTCATGCTTTGACTTTTTATGCTTTTTCATTAGAACAGCTGCATGCTAACAGATCCTCAAAGCGCCTCTTCTTGAAAACAGCAGGTTTCGGATTCATCGAGGGTGAAAGGCTGCCCTCTCAGGATCAAACAAAGACGGGGAAACTTCAACAAACTGAGTGAGTCAGTGTATAGACAGCCTGCCAGTCTGTCACTAGAGCTCGGGCGGCTGGCAGCAGGTACCCTCGCCCCGGTGCAGAGGGGAGCGCATGGTGGCTGGCAGTGCCAACTGTGCGCCACGTACCCGTGCCAACTCTGCCAGCCTTGCAGTGTCTGTTTGCCGGTGCCATCTGGGAAGAACAGCTCTGCGCTCATGCAGTCTTCAGCTTGGAGGGCACACACACACACACACACATGCATGGATGCACACAAGGAAGCACAGGCAGGAATTACTCTGCACATACATGCAGGATGCACACAAATGCATGGCACAGAGGCACACACACATGCCAGCAAACACACACGCACAGCCGGCCGCTGACAGCTTGCCATCTGTGCTCTGCCTCTGACTTCTCCCTCTGCTTCCTCTCTGCCCTTGTTTTTTGCTTTCATAAACTCTTGCTCCCTCTCCTCCTTTCCTCACCTCCTCTCGTCTGCACAGTCTGAAGGTAATAACTTCCAAGCTTGAGATTTTAAAACTATGTCATGACAAATTGGGTTTTGACACTAGACGTATATATTTTTTATCTCGTCGTGGCAACATCAGATTCAGATGTGCTGTAATTTGACAGCTGTTTTCAGGTTACCTGGAATTGAACCAGACAGCGGCTACTCTCAGATCCCTCTCCTCCTTTTTCTTTATCTGTCTATCAGAAATATGCGTGTAAAAGGAGGCTTTAACAGGTGGTTTTTGGTATTAGTCATCTAAAACATATGAGTATGAAGTAATCTTGGAATGTGCACCGACAAGACAAATGTAGCAGAATGCATCTGGTAGGACTGATATGCGCTGCAGAGCAAAATGAAATGAGTGAAGAAAAATAAGATTTAATATAACAAGAGGAAAAAATCACCTCATTTCTGTTGTATAATAGAGTAAAAGGGAAGAGGACGAGGTCTTAAATTGCAGAAAAAGATGGAAAGGGAAAGTTGAAAAGAGAGACAGAGTTGATTGAAACAAAATAGGTGAAGGAAAACCACCTGTATCTGAGATGGAGTGTTTCAGGAGGGCAGATAAGCAAAAAGACAAAGTATTGAGAGAAAAGAAGGGACTGAGTCTGCAGCAGGGAGAGCACACCTTTCCTCTGTTTCATGCGCATACATGAAAAGCAAAGGTGGAGAGAGCAGCAGCACAAGTCCAAAGTTGACATCAGTAACAATGCATACAGCTCAAAGGGATAAACTGGGGTGGAGGTGGCAGCAAGAGAAGAAGCCCTGGGCTGGTGTTAGGATCTTAAAAGCTACATGTAACCTGGTAGTCTAGTGGTCGAGGTGCCCCACATATGCAGGTTGCTCCGGTTAGATTCAATCCTGAGGCCCCCTTTACTGGATGCCATTCCTCCCTCTCTCCTCTTTCAATAAATCTAGAATAAAAAGTTTAACCTGGTAATGTCCACTTCACTTCCATGGATATGCACATGGGGGACTAGTCGTTTAAGGAACACTTTGTGGTCCTGTTAGCTTAGCAGTCTATACCTGTGCCCCAGGCATTAAAGTTTCTGTAGGGAACTTTTAACTAGATTTTTAAAAGTATCTTGCTTCTCCTGATATAGCTGTGTCATCTACAACAGCCCATCGGAGGGAAGATATTTCTAAATAGTGTAACTCCCACTTTCAAAATTCGTTGGTCGGGTCTGCCCATTGACGTAACGGAAGTTACGGCTCTTAGATTGGGACACGAGAGGAGCAGTGAGTTGTTGCTATGCTGGCCAGTGAAAACGGAACAAAAACAAATAGCTACACATGGCCGATGATGGGACAGGGTCCACAAAAAGAAAACAAATTCAAACAGAAAAAGAAAAAAAAAAGTGAAAAGGGAATGTGATTAAGCGAGGGCAACAATGAAGATAAACATTGGTAATTCCTTTCGCGAAGTGGAGAGAGCTGTGGGGCTTGAAGGGATCCTGAAGTTGGATCCTGAATTTGCCCAATTCCTCCAAGACAGGTAACGTTAGCTGCACTTTTTTACACTGCTGGCTCATTGATATGAAGATACAACATTACCAAGGAAAGCTGACAACTTAAGCTTTATATAATAATCTACAGCCGAGTTAAATAATCTGTTTGTTGTTACGAACAAGACGTACCTGTAGGCTAAAAATATAACTCACAATAATACAACATTACATCATTTTACTGGCGGCATATTATATTTAAAAGAAATGCAAATATATACATAACCTGATCACTATGCCTCCAGCAGATAGCCAAAAAAAAAAAAAAAAAAAAAAAAAATTCAAAGTACCAGTATGTCCCGTCTTGTTTCCTTCGCCTCCAAAACAACAACATGCCAGACCAAAGACCTTATAAGTGTCTTCACAACAGTTCGTACAAAAACTCATGGGAAATGCAGTCATTTTTAGGACAAAACTCTACTGCTTTTGTCCATAGTGGCCACCAAAGGCGATGGAAAATGAAAACTCCGTTCAGCTGTTTTAACAAACCAGATAACACTATCTTGAAATTCTCACTTTGTAGGTAGTTTTAAAGGGACAAGTGTTTGAACTGGTGTGCAAGTTTACATTCTACAATCATGTAACACACATGTTTAGACTCTGCTTGCAAAGGGATCAATCAGTTTTTCTATAATAAATGAGGGGACTGCATTAAATTGATTTCAGATAGAAGTTCGTCTTATCATAGATCGACATTACATGTGTTTCAGTGTGAATATTGAGCGTGCCCACGTTGCTGTTGTGGTGTTCAAGCCAAAGCTAAAATGAATAAAAGTAAAGAGAAAAAAGGGAAGAAGAAAACAACAAAGTGGAGTGGAGGAGAAGTGAAAGGTAATATGAGTTCAGAACCGTGGAATTCACTTCAAAGAGGAGCTAAAAACAGGTCACTGTCTTTACCCGACTTTAGCCTTGGGTGAGTTTCTCTTTCATATGTTTCTCATTTAAAGCTTCGGCTTCTCTGTTTGAAAATGAAAAGCACATCGTCCTTTTTTTTTTGATCGGTGGACTACGTTCACGCTTGTCGCTGAACCAATCGTTACTTTTCCAGTCGCTGTTCAGTCCATCGTGACGTGTTTCCCAATATCACAGTTTACAGCTCGACTTTACAAACACCGCAATGCTATTACTTCTCTGATCTTCAACACAACAGCTGTAATATTTTCAACCTCAAATCTCCCCTCTCTTCCTCTTCCCTGCTCCATTTATTTCTTTTCCTTCTCACTGGCCAACACTACCTACAATAACTGGTTATTTCTCTCCTCCCCAACATCCATCTATTCTTCCTCTCTCATTCCTCCTCCCTCTGGCAACCGCAGAACGCCGTCAGAAAGATGTACGATTGAACGCTATTCCACTCCTATTATTCAAGCCATTTTCTCATTCAGGCACCAACCCTCCGCTCCCTCTTTGCCACTTCTCCCCATTTTCACCACTCATCCTCCTCCATCTCTCTACATTTTTCCCTCCATCCAGACCCCCCCCACCCAAAAACACCACACGCTCTGGCAGCGACAGGAGAAGTAGCCTCATTACAAACAAGGAAAATCCATTTGGAGCGGCCGTCTGCTGCTTCTCGGCCCCCTCTGAACTCTCTTGAGAAGAAATGCCCCACATCTCTCCTCTCTCCAGCTCTCTTCTTCCTCATGGATTTTCCTTCCAATGATTTATATCTCTTTCAATTTACTCTGTTGTTCCTCTGTCTTGAACTGCTCACTCCCTCCCTCCTGAATTTTGCTCTTTTTTTCTGATGCGCATTGATCAATTCATGTTTCCATTTGCAAAGCACTTACAAAACAGTGCAATTTTGTCCTGAACTTAAGTCTGTGGAGGGTCATTGCTGTTAATTGAAAACTCCTTACAGGAGCTTTAAGTTGAGCTAAGTAAAGCAGAGCATACACTTATCCTGATAAATGAATGATGGTACCAAATATCAAGTATTTACACAGTTACGCCTGTAGCCAGAAAGACAGCTAGTAAAACACGCCAATAGTGCCAAAAAGAGAGTTTGTGACTTTTCTTGGTGGGTTCATTAGAATAAGTTTCGTTTGGCTCACAGGCTCCAGATATCTGACGCTGCTGAATCAGGGCAGTAATATCAGCCCAGGATCCTGAAATAAAATATAGAGGGGAAAAATGACTCATGACATGGATAATGTATCCGGTCCCTTCAGGAAGATTTATCAATTTTGTTTAGCGACCTCAAACCTGTAGTGTAGGTCCATTCAGTTAAACTAATGGATCGAATCGATTCTTAGCAGTGGTTCCTGCAGTTCGAAAATGAATCACTGCACCACTTCCTGTCATTTTCTCTCTTCTCTCCCCCCAAACCATTTTCCCCTCTACGTCCCTCTCCTCACCTCCCACCGCAGCTCGTGGTCTTTTAAAAGCTCTTCTTTTTTTTTTTCACCCCTCATTCCTGCCTCCAATTCTCTCTCTCTCTCTCTCGCTGTCTCTGGCTGGCTCCCCTTCTGCTCTGCCATCATCACAACATCTGATTAACATATGTCTGGGCTTTCACTCCCTGTCAGCTTGCAGGCATCTGCACACATTTACACCCACACAGGCACACAGGCTTTCACACAATCCCGTGCATCATGTTCAGGAGGGTGGAAGAGTGAAAAAATGGAAGCAGAAATTCCCCTGAACGTCCTTTTAACTGCATTTACCTCCCTTTGTGCGTGTGTTTGTGTGTGCGTGTGTGTGTGCCAACAGCAGCGAGGATGAGAGACAAAACATCTAAACATTACTGCGAGCCAACAAGCCCCATACTCCCCAGCGGGCTGCTTAAAATGCCAGTAATGGAGGGAAGAGGGAAGGGGATAAAGAAGTATAATAAGACAGAGAAAGAGACAAGATAGAGACAGATGAGGGGTGAAAGTGTGTGTGTACTGATAAACAACAGCTCCACCAGCTCCCTCAAGACTCATGGCCTAAAAAATTACTCATGCACTCTTTCTTTTTCAGCTCATGTTTCCTTTTATAGGCAGACATTGATACACTGGATTAAGTTTGCTCAATAGATAGCCATTTGAAGCTTAACTTCATATTCCACCTTCCAGTTATTGTAACAAGAGACCAGATATTGATTGATTTTTACACTGGTGCCAGAAAGCTGAGCCTGAACTTGCCAGAAAAGCTGCATGTTCAGTCAAGAAGGTGGAACATTTATTTCCAGATAAGGTTTTTTTCTTTTTTTGGCCTGAAGAATGAGCGAGATTATTCTGTTTGTTTCTTCTGGGTTTCAAGGCCTCTTTTCAAGTAATTTGTTCTCACTTTTCTGTCCCAGATTGTCTGGAGTCAGTCCCACTTCTACTGTCTTATCTGCAACAAGAATCATGTAATAACATCAGCAGATGTCAGCAAACAAACACTTTCCACCCAGACGACACTCTCAACAAGAAGCTTTACAATTGTTTGAGCTGGAGCACATTTAAAATACCTGAAATTTCATCAGTTTGTCACATTTTTCCAAACATTTACAAATTTTACCTTCACATTTTATATACTTTACGGTAACCAAACATTCTCCACCATTAGGACATAATCAAACTGGCAGCAGAGAAACTTCATTGAAAAAAATCATGCTGATGGTCACCTTTGCGCACATTTGCAATACCTTTAATTTCACCTGTTCTTTTTATTGCAGCATTTGCAACAATCCCTCTTTTTCTAGAAACTTTTCACATTTTTCTTATTTCCACCAAAAAGGCAGCACCATCATTGCAGCTTCACTTCAAACAGTGCAGGTTGTTAACAATGGTGTTTATTTGCAATATCTATAATTTCACCAGTTTGTCGTTCAGTATTCTCAGCCAGGTGACACCCATTCTCCAGGTGTTTTACACACTTTCTGACAACCAAACTATTTCCACACAGAAGACATAATCAAAAATAAACTCAACCACAGAGACAGAACTGAGTTGTTGCACTGGTGTACATTTGCAATACCTTCACAGCTGTAAATAACACTCATGTATATATCTTTTTTTTCTTTACATCTTTTTAACATCTAAGTTTCTTCATTCTTTGATTTCTCTTTAGTATTTATCGCTGCTGTAAATTTGGAATGTCCCCTTGTGGGACGAATGAAGAAACCTCTTGTCTTTAATTTCACTAGTATGTTTTGACAGCATTCCCAACCATTTCACACAGCTTTCTCAGACATTTTAATCTTTTTTTCACAACCAATTTGCACCAAAAATCCTCACATCAGCAGCTACAACAAAAGCTGCACTTGTGTACATTTGCTGTTCCTGTTACTTTACCAGTTTGTTGTACAGACATTTCCAGCCATTTTGCACCATTTTGTTTGTTAAAACACCAAACACTGCTTCTGATCTTGAATGGAACAAAAGTCTTGCTGTATCAAATGACACCTCTTTGTGTGAATAAGCATCAGGGGCTTTGCTGTATACAGTTAACAACTTGTCAAGAAGCTGCAATGCAAGCTTGTCTTCTGCCTCCTAAACCCCCCCAATCCTTCTTCCTTCCGTCCTTCTTTCACCTCCTTTTCAGGCTATTAAAGAGTCATCTACAACAAACGGGTTAATATATGTGCTTAAATTCAAAACAGGCTTTCTCCACACAGGCGCATTAACAAACTGAATAGCTGCACAATGCTGATGAGGAGAAAACGCTTTGCTAAGGGGATTTCAATAGAGCGCAGAGGCTGTTTTTGTGCAGGGCCAAGCCACCCCTATGTGTGTGTGTGTATGTGCATCAGAAAATGTGTGTGTGTGTGAGTGCAGGGAGAGCGGTTTCAATAAGAAAGAATGGGAGTGACTTTTTTGTGGAAGACTTGATAAACTCAATGGAGCTTTGGAGGGCCCACTCAATGATGAGTCAATGAGGTGGACTTGAATAGTAGGGGTGATAGAGTGAGACGCACACACATTGAACTCCCATGAGACAGGATCTGGATACTCTGTGATAGCGCTGAGATGTGTGTGGGAAAAATGGACACAAAAGGACATAAGTACAGGTTTGTGTTTGGAGGGACGCAGTCAGCGACCAACAACATCACAACATGTCCAGACATGTCTGCCTCTTTCGCCTTACTTTCCTGCTTTTTTTTTTCTTTTTTGCTTGTGATGCCTCTAAAAACATGGTTTACACCCCGGTGGACACCATCAGTGATTCAGACGCACAGGAGCGAGAGTCAGAGAGAGACAAACAAGACAGGAGAAAGAAGAAAAAGTGGAGGATAGACTAAGACGACAGGGTGGGATGGGGAGGTAGAATCAAGAGAAGAGAGAAGAGAAGGAGTCAGTGACGGGCTGGCAGACTGAAACACACATACACACACACACACACAGATGGGAAGATAAATGAGCAGAAATTCTGGCAGTGCTACACAATACTGAGAGACTAGGAAAGGGAACATCAGGGCAAACGTCAACACTCTTCCTCACTTGCCTCTTTCGCAGTCAAAGGATGGAGCAAAGATGGCCTCAGCTTTAGTGCAATCTGATGTAACCCGCCAGAAACAGACTCTCAATACTGCATATCAAACGTAGTCGTACCCCAGTCATCAGACTGAAGAAGGAGGCTCTGTGAAACGTGTCCAAGATGTGTCCGACTTTGCTGTGGACAAACTACAGCCAAGTGTGTGTAAGTCATTAATTAGGGGTATTTTAAGAACCGTGTTTCACTTTGGTGAATGTGTGATTAAAAGAAGAAAAGAGGAGTGGAGGGAAGCCGGATTTTAAAGAAAGGTAGAGGATGGAAGGATGAAGGGAGAGGTGCGAACACAGTGCTGAGACCATATATCTGTATGTATATTTATAAATGTGTGTGTGTGTGTGTGTGTGTATGTGCAGTGGCTGCATATGAACAACAACTCCGGAGGAAGGGAGGTTACTCGTGGGCTCGGCCTTTGTGTGTTGATGGAAGTGAGAAAAAAAAAAGAAAAAAAAAACAGGAGCTGCAGAAGCAAGAGCGACTGCAGTCCAAGCGGTGCAATCAGCGGGGTGAAAAAAAAAAGCGTGAGTGAAAGAGAGAGAGAGAGAGAGAGTGAGCGAGAGTCCCTATGTGTGCGGCAGGTCCCCAGCCATCTGGACACTCTCCTTCCCCTACCCGTCTCTCCCCCTCCTCCTCCTCCTCCTCCTCCTCCTCCTTTCCTCTGTCGACTGGTGCGCTATTCATGGCGGACCCATTTCACCTTTCAGTGTGTTACGCCCGCTCGCCACAATACATGCTAATGAGGTAGAACAAATGACTTTTTTTTTTGCTTTGGGGTGCCTGCATGTGTGCAGGCTTGTGTTAAATGTGTGTGTGTGTGTGTGTGTGTGTGTGGGTGGATGGGTTGCTAAATTCGTCCAATCTCAGCTCCTTGCAACCAAACCAGTCACTTAACTGCTGTTAAGGTTGTTAATGGGGGATGCAGGAACCATTTTTGTTTTCTCACCTGGAGGCGTGAAATAGCTGCAGATTACTTACACATGATCTGATTTCTTTGTGCTCAGATGCCCCATTTCTGAAGTGAAAGCTGCATAATGTCCAAAACATTCAAGGAAGATTTTTACACAGGATCCTGAAGACCTATAATTAAAATGCACTTCCTCAAAACTGCACCACCAATAAACCCACTCCCCTACTTCATTACAGCTAAGCCACCCTCAACCAGTCCTATAAATCCCCCCCCACTTGGCCCACTTCTGATGTGATCTGCTAGGAAATGATAAATACGAGAGGTGGCTGTCACTGTGAACACAGGAGGAGAAGAGGAAGCGCACCGTTACAGCTCTCAGATGACACCAGATGAATGGGGCACCTGATTTGTCGCAACAGCGGACGAGAGACGGCGTGACTGACACCAGCGAGTGAAGTGGCGACAGGGAGGAAAAGTTGAGAATAAGCTGTAGAAGAAAAGAGGGGTGAAGGTGTTAAAAGATTTAGGGATGAGATAGGGGATGGTGGGGAGAGAGGAAGGAGGGAGGAAAAGACATTAGATGAAAGGAAAATTGAAGGAGGAAGAGAAATGTGCAGCAATGCAGACACCGTTTGTCAGGATAAACCCCCTTCAGGTCTTTTTATAGGTATTCTCTTCTCTCTGCATCACTTGGTGGCGCTAACGATGCATCTGCACACCTGCCAACTCTCTCTCCCTCCCTCTCTCTCTCCCTCTCTCTCTCTCTCTCTCTTCTGTGAGTCACTGTGACAGCCTGGCCTGGCGGTTGTAATTAACCGAGTGCACTAGCTAGTGTAGCGCTTTATGCAAAACGCCGCCGTGAGCAGGAGAGGGAGAAACACATGAGGTGGACGCAGGTTATAAGTTTATTTTGGAGCTTTTGCATATAAATTCAGAGAGAAGACTGCAGCATTGTGATTTAACCCAGCGCCATAAGCTCATGGACATTTTTAAAGAGTGATGGGTCCCTTCAAAGTAAAGGTCGCTTAGAGAAGATGCTAGATCAGACATTTTGTGTGTTTCCATCAGATTGGCAGTTGAGGACAGTGGAGTAGGCATGCTTTACTTGGGTTTGTTTTTTTTTTCTTTTTAAAGATAAGTACTTTTAGAGGCTTTGACTTCCTGCTCAGCTGCTGATGGAGTCAGTGCAGGGCAATGAGGCACCAAATAATCCCAGAAGAAAAGTACTGTCCAAATTTGTCAGAGTTTGAGGGCTGAATTTATGAAAACGTTGCATTCGGATAGTGTTATAGAATGTAGACAAAGTCAGATCTGTCTTAGCCTGTCAGTATTTACCACCTCAAACAAAGACATTAGTTTTTGAGCCTCATGTAATAAACAGATTTTACGTCCAACAGCTGCAGAAAAAAAATGATATTACGCTGCTTCAGGCGTCCAATCGAACTCCTGAGATCCTTTCACTCAAACTGCAGCTCTCCAAAAACAAGGGAAGCAACTCACGTTTCCACAAATACAGACTCTAAAATCAGTTTCCCAGCGGTGAGGATGCACTAATGGAAATGGTGCCACAGTTCCTCTAACTAGCACAGCAACAGGAACCAGACCATTCCTGGCTCCCCTCCCGGCCCCCGGGGCCAAGGGCCCAGCCCAGCTCGCCACACAATGGGCCGGCAGAATGAGAGGAACCGCCGGCCGTCCAGAGATAGCCCCGCTGGTCAGGAACCAGAAAGGGAACCAGAAGGAGATCTGGGGGGAGGGGTAGGGGAGGAGAGGATGGGAACCGAGGGAGCAAAGGAGAGGAGAAGGGTGGGGATGGTTGGCTGGTTGGGGTCAGGATGTGTGTGAGGGGGACAGAGAAAATGCATGGCTCAGATACAATATAGTGAGTCAAACGTTCTTCATCCTGAGTCCAGGATGTTTTTGCTTCTTTTCAGGTAATTAAAGCTGGAACAGCAATCCTGGGATGCGAGGCGAGTGGAGCTTTGTTGACAGAGAAGGAAGAGTAATAGGAAGGAGGTTTTGGGACTGACTTCTCCAGGCCTGACCCTCCTGCCTTGGCTTTTGCCCTGGGTAAGTGCACAGTCCTATCTCGCGTCCTCAATCACTCCCTGGGGCGTCAAACGGTGAAACAAGCCGTGGTGTCTGAGACAAACATTTAGAAGTAGAAGAGAGTTTCATTAGAGTGACAAGAGGTCTAAATGTGGCCTTGGACCTGCTACCTGCTCCATCTCAGGGGTCTCCAGTGAGACACACATACACACTCACAGTATGCCTACTGTTTCCATGACAACAAGTGGAGCAGATATGCTCTCCCAGCTGTCAAAGAACACTCGCACATACACACATATGTGCACACATATGCAGAGATACAAGGGTGCTAAAGTGGTGTTCTTTTTAGCCGGAGACAGAGACACAATGGCAGACGGCAGAAAGGAGCGAGGAGGAAGGTGATTGGCTGACAAAGAGCAGGATCAATAAGTGCCAGCAAGGTGTTTCTACCTTATTTTCACACTGCACTTCTGCAGAGACTGTTGGAAAAAGAAAAAGCCCTAATGACAACAGCATTAAAACTGACATTAACAGAGCTGAATACAAGAGTCTTTTTCATCTCGCTCTGATCCAGATTGACTGTGTCTGGCTGGTAAAATAAAATGCTGTCGTCTTGCCTCGTCCTCCAGCACTAGAGCACCATTACCGCAGCTCTCAGTCACGACCTATCCTTAATCAAAACCACTCAGACATATCAGGACTGATGGTTTTCAGAGAGAAGAGGGATGTCAGCGTGTGTGTGTATATGAATGCATGCTGTCATTTTAAAGGAAATATAACACACTCCTGATCTGTGTTACAGTCAGACAGATTCTTAAAATCACACATTTCCAGGCTGTAAAAGAACTTTGACTGTAATTTCGCAGCTGTGAATAAATGAAATTACTCCCTCATCTCAAATTAGGAAAAGCAATAAATCTGAAATCTCTCTCCTCACATGCAGAAGCTATTTTGTCCTTAAAAAAAAATCCTCCACAAGCTCCTCGATCCATCTTCATGAAATAAGGAAGCCTTGCTCTGGCAATCATTTTAAAAAGCAAGAAGTTCCTTACGCTGCCGGCTGTGTCACATTTTACTAGCTTCCCTCCACATACCATGAACACAGCATTTTCCCAGCCGCTTAATCCCCAGTCGCACTATGATTTTCTATTACAGCAGAGCAGCTATATAAAGTGTAGGCTGTGGCTCACATGTAGCTGTGGTTAAGGCTTGTTGTGTGAACTCCCCGACTTGAACTCCTTAAATATAGGTTGACTTGATTTCATGTTATTTCTCCTCAAACGCTGAAACGTTTCCAGGAAAAGCTGCAGTTTAGCGTTAGCGGCTGTCTGTAAGAGAGACAGAGGATCTCAGAAGCACATTATGCTCGTAGCCGTGCTCAGCAATTTGGAAACTCATAAATGTTGTTTAACATCTCGTTCAGGGTATTTCTCTTTCTCCTTTCTGTCGTTGCCTGCATTGCTTGCTCTGTTGTCCGACTCTGCGGCTTGTTGAATTGGTCGCCAGTGGTTTTATAACTCAATATCATGCCCCACTTGATTTTCTTCATTTTTAGAGACGTGTTTGGTCAAATAAACTTGTTTATATCAGGAACATAAACACAGAGAACCTGGCAGACTTGTGCCTGATGACCCAACTTTTCCTCCACTAGAATACAAGAATACACTAGAATAACATTTGAGGATCCTTCTTATTGGACTAACTAGGCACTGAAACCCCGCAGTATGCCAACGGATCAACAGGGGCCCCCATTGACAATGGAAACTCCAGGGGCCACCTCAAACTCTGTTGGTATGACTGCATCTCTTCCTTATCAACTTTGGAGTTATACTCTAAAGGTATTCAAGTTATTCAGCATCTTTCTAACTATCATCAATCTGAAAAGCATCATGAGCAGATAAATGTTCTTGTGAGGGAAATAAAACAATGTGGGTAATACTGAAAAAACAAGCGACTGTGAACAGGAGGGAAACAGATGAAAAACCAGAGAAAGGGTCAGTGTCACGTGTGAGTTAAAATAAACTTCAGACTCTAGGTTTTAATCTGTGTTCTTCAGTTGATAAAATGTGTAAAATCGATGGCCCTGCAGTCAGAGTTTAAAATCCTGTTCAGGTCTTCAAATACACCAATAAAATAACAAAAAAGTGTGAAATTTAACTTCCTGCATTTACCTGATGATTGTATCTTGATGGAAATGAGCTCTGTAATTAGTCCTCTACTGGAGCATCTTCTCAAGGACTAAGATTTAAAGGCTGGTCTTATTCTGTGTCCACTTAGACCTCTTTTTATTCAGTTCAATTGTGTTAGGACTGTAAATAGTCAGCTAGTGCTATATGTAACTAGCTCTGTGTGCACACAAAATGTAGCTCCTTACTACAGAGACTTGTTGTCTAATGGGATGTGATAAACTCAGAGAGAAAGACACATCTGCTGCAGAGCCAAAGTAGCACACATTTAATGAATCAATTTTATTGGCTATTTGTGAAAAATGGCTGATACACAGAATAATAATAATAATTACTCTGTCTCTTAGTTTATTTGTGTTCATATGCATAAATAGTTCACGCCATAGACTGTATATACTATGGACAACTTGGCCGCTTCCTGGAACCACCAATTGCACAGTAGCTGTGATAGATGTTCAGCTTAAAGAGAATATCCCCCCGGTGAGCTACGCAATCTTTGTTCACCCATAGGCTGTATCAAGTGTCAATCACATCGCAACCAGGGCGGAGAAAAATGTATATTCTGTGTAATAAATTTCAAAAGTTTGTCCAAAGCTCCATAGGGATTGGTGGGATTTATGACCTATACTGCAGCCCGTCGCCAGAGGGTGCTGTTCTCGGGGTGGCTTCACCCAGTGAGGAGGCAGACACTGTCCATTATATATACAGTTTATGGTTCACGCCCTCCCTGTATTAATTTGGGCTCCACTTTGGCCACCCTGGACAAAATAGACTGGACACACCACTGTTGTCAAATCAAGACCAAAAGTGGAAAACTTGTAATTTCTTAAAAATCATCATAAATCATCAACATTCCATAAATGATGGCAATGTAAGAGTTCATTTCCATTTGGCAGTAACTACATGGCTGTGATAAGACCTTTAATCACCTTCAATCTTATACCCATATCTTGATCCATTTCTCTACGTCCCCTTTCAGAATCACAATCCATCACCCCTAAACACAAATCTGCAAAGCACAACAGCAACAGCAAAAAAAAAAAAAAAAAAAGATTAAAATCAAATTTAAAAAAGAAAAAATATAAATATAAATAGGTTCAATTAAAACCCCCTTAAGGTGATATTAAAGGACAGGGTTACACTAAAACATCTAAAACAGTCTATTCAGCCGGATAAGTCTAATCCCTTTTTTTATGTTAATGGTGAACAAACACGGGTTCGGGATGAACAGAGAGTGTGAACAGAGTGTGTGTCCTGTGCCCTCCATCAGCTGGTGTCTTGTTATTATCCTATCAGGCTGAGGCCCCAGGCGGTGAGTGGCTCTCACATTGTTGTGTTTGGCACTGATGGGCGTCTGTCGTGTGAGGCTACATGTGTTTGTGTGATCGCGTCTCGCAGCCTCGGGCAAAATGGCAACAGAAAAGACTTGTTACACTCAGACAGAGAGACGTGGCGTAGCGTGTCTCCAGGAGCATAACAATTATAACCTGATTGTAACATTAACTAGAGCTCAGTTTAGTATCAAAGAAATATATTTTCTCCAAGTGAATGTTTCTCCAAACCTATCACTCTAATGAAATGGAGGGAACGCTTCATGCTGGGCTCTCGATGTGTATTTGACGCTGCAGTTTTTACTGTTATTGTTCGTTTCACAAACCTCCATGAGACTTTGTTGTGTTAAAGAAAGTAACAACATAGATTTAAACGTCTATCATTGGTGATTAGACTGAGCTCAGCATGTTTCTATTCGGTGACTAAATGACTCAAAATAGTGCGAAGGTACGTGCTGTAAAAGAGAAACAGTGGGCTGTATTAAAACATTAAAGTACGGTTCGAAATAAATGAGGAAGATGTTTAGAGAATTTTTCAAAATAAACTTCTGGGGGTTGCAACAGACGACAAATTAAACAGAAAATCTCACATTAAATGTTCTGTACTGTATTTTAGTTTGCTGAGCTTTGGAGCTACTCTTATAACAGTTCACTTTAAAAAACAGCAATAACACTTATTCCTTATGTCGGATACCTGATTTATTTTTCTTACAGTCAATATTACTCAAGATTTCTGATCCTGTGGAGTTTCAAACGGCACAAATCATCTTCAAGGCAAAGAGAAAACCACGATATTGTACCAAATAATATTAAAAAACTGTCAAGGGAATGAGATGAAGGGTGTTATTAATGGTAAGAATTTAATTTACAAGACTGTGAAGCTTTTTGATTTAATCTGTGGAACAAAAAGCTGTGAGACGGACTCACTGGAGAGGAGTAATGTCAGCCTTTTTAAAATACAATTCAAGGGCTTTAACCAGGTGAAAGCAGGGGTTTATGTTCGGTCTTAAGTGTGTAATTATTACGTATACGTAATATTTACATATTATTACGTTATGTAAATAGGAGGTTACCCGTATTTCAGAGTATGATACATAGTTATGATTGCATGTATTTTTCTTTCTTTGTGCCAAAAAAAGAGAAAGATATATGACGATATTCGTACAAATTGCTAAAGTAGGAGGAAAGAAACCCTTCACACTTTGTTAAAGCCCCATCTAACACTAAGATTAAAGCATCTACAACTTCCTGTTACAAAATACAAGCAAATTAAGATGCTCAAAACTGCACCATTCCTCATTTTGATATTGCGGTACAATACATCGATTCAGTTATATAATTAATGAACTTGCTAATTTAGTATACCACATTTTTTATTATGCATTATTATGTACTATAGAATGACAGCAACCAATAAACATTTAAAAAGTCATACAATCTTCAAAAGAAGATGTTAATCGTAAATGTGAGAGTAGGTCAACATCAGCCTTGGTAAATTATGGGGCTGATATTTGGCATTAGGTAGATTCTCTGTATTGGCCTCTCAGCCAAAGCCCCGCCTACAACATCATCAGATATTCTATTACTGTCCCAGCAAAGACTTGCATTTAAGTGTGTAATCTTTCTTAATCTTATTTCGGTAAAAAAGATTTTAATATTGACTGTAAATGCTTATTGCTCCCTTTGAATATTAAATAATTATTGACTGGCATGATATCGGCCCTGGAAATCCGATACGAGCTGACCCCTATGACAAATAAAATGCATTTGCCATTTCTGTCTCCACTTGGTGCATGAACTTTAACTGCTAACAATGACGGAAAGTTGAAATATTCTGTTCAATATTGGCCTTGAAAAACCTTTATCAGTCAGCCCCAAGGAGATAAATATATACACACATATATAGACTATATTTATACATAGACTGACTTGATCATGAATTTATAATCAATGACAGACAATTTTAATTCAATTCAATTAATTGGATAAAATTTCCCTAATACCTCTTTGATCAAACGCAGCCTTGAATGTCACACCAAAGGCGCTGCACGCCTCCATTTAAGATCCATATGGTGCAGATTCAACTCCTGACTATCTGTGAGCATGTTAGAGCATCATCTCTGTGTTCATATCTGTGTGTGTGTTTATGTGGTGTGTAGCTCAGCTCTGTTTGTGCAATGGTTTAATGCGTAAACATAAAGTTGCAGCTGCGCCACAGTACACCATCCCTGCACAGCTGGGAATTATTATGAGGACAATTTAATATCGACAAAGAGGAAATAGCAAATTAAGATCTGAGTTTGGCGGCTGTGTTTTTTTCTTCAGAGGACATGTCTCCCTCTCCGTCTATGATGTGATGCGTGTGATTCTATCGACCTAAACTGCAGCTTTATGCTCTTCACTTGTAAATGGGCAGCAGAGGTGCAGACAGACACCCAAGGGTCCTACTGAGGTGCTTTAGAGGAAGGGGCTTTCCTCTCACTGAAGCATCCTCAAACTAACAACTGAGCAGTATTTTGTCCCGTCACAGGGGACGCATAAAAAACCAGAACCTCAAATTCTTTGCAGTTATGGAAAAAGTGAAGAGAGGACCAAAAAAAAGAGAGGCCCAAATACTTTATCTCCCCCTCTAACTGAAAGTTATTACATTTTCTGAATGGTATGACTGTCTAATGGTTAGCATATGTGGGTATGTGTGCGCGCAGAGAGAGCAGTAGTTGAGGCTAAGTTAATAGCACAAGCAGAGGGGGAACTGGGAACCCTTGGCTTATAAAGGATACTTGTTTCCCCGCCGCACTAAAAACCAGATGTTGATAAAGAGACATGGAGGGAGAGGAGAAGACAGATGGGCAAGAAATTACCGCAACTTGGAGCCAAACATCTTGAAACATCTGCAAAAAAATCTCAGACCTTACAAGGGGAGATGGATTTATACTCTCTCCTGGATTTTTTATTGCACCGTGAGAGCCCTTCTCCCTCCTCTGCTCCGCGCCTACTCTCTCTGTGTTACAAGGCTTCACCACAATCTGGAGCTGTTTAAAATCCTGGAAAAAGTCAGATTCTTCCACAAAAGGCTTTATCATGTGGAGAAGACAAACACGGGGGAGGTGTAAAACTTCAAAGTCCAACCATCACACCGACTGATGCCGACGGTCTCGATATGAAACGCTGTAAATGTCAAGGTGTCTCACATTTCAGCACATCCTGCGTTTGCGGAACTAAAAAAAAAGTATAATTCGTATCATATTACTAAAAGAGGAGTTTGGTTACCATGGAGACACATCTTCTACGCTGCTATGAAACGCGCAGCTGAGGATGACATGTCCATATGGTGAGAGTGTGACAGAGGGGGGGAACAGATGCTTTGATGAAAGGCCTGTCAATTGCAAATCCATAAGAGCAGCTGGGGTCATGAATGTACAGAGGAGGATTTTACAGACGTATAAAGATGTTCTGATGGATAGGTATCTGCCACAGACATGAAAACATACAGTTTAGTCTTATCTTTAAATACTGTCTGCTTCCAACACACACGTCTGACACAGACAGCTTCACATCTCCATCTTTTCTTCAACACACAGTCGCAGCCTCACATAAGACCACCCACCCCCCTTTTCATTTTTACTAAACTGCTATTTTATACAAGAAAACCAAGGCTCTCTTATCCCCTCTATGAAAAAAAAAACAGAGTGATTATTCTAAACATTTTTTCAGAGGTGGAGATGCCATCAAATATCATTTTTGTGCACGGAAAAAAGGACTGTAATTTTGTTCCTGGTACCGGCTGTGAGCGCACAAACACTTAGCAGGGTGGCTAGCAACAATGCAGGCTGCTGAAGGCTTGACAGGGATGTGGAGGAGAAGACTACAGCGGGCAGGATGCTGCAGAAGTTAAACAAAATGAGGCTTTTACTCGGCCCCATTTGGGGAAAATGGACCAGTTCCTTCTGCTTCTTTTAAGTAACCCCCTACTGTCTCCCCTGCCTCGCTTCTTCTTTCTCTTTGCGCCAATTTTCCAAAATGGCCCTTCCTCGACATAATTGACACTCTGCGTTTATCATTCCAGGCACCTGCTGTCGGTTTGACAACAAGACAATCGGACGGCGCGAGCGGCCGTCGTCCCATTGTCCCATCTCCCTGTTTGTCTGTGACACTAACTGACAACAGCTGGAAGCCCTCTTGTCCTACAATACCCATCATGCAAGTCAAATTCAAGCACAAAAGAAAAGAGGCTCATTATTTGGCGGTGGTGGTGTGATTTTAAGCGGCGAAAAGCGGAAACAATGATTCGGTTGTGTCTGCTGATGAAAGATAAAAGGCTTGGAGCGAGTGGAAGTGTTAAAACTACAGGACATCTTAAAAGCAGACATCTGTTTGCAGCTCTGCAGGCTGACAATATGTGAACAAATATATTTTATATTTCAGCACACACATCCTCTGCCTCTGCTCTTCGTCTTCTTCTCTTCTGGCTATAATTGACTGAACACGTCAATACTCGCAAGGAAAAAACAGAGGGTCCACTGTCTGCATCTATTGATCGGCACCTCTCTCTTCCTCTTCTTCTTCTTCTCCTTCTTCTCCTCTCTCCCTGTCTGCTGATCTTAATTACACTTCTTTTTACCAGGCGAGCCCGGCTCCGCTCTCGCCGCTGCCCTTTTCATAAAGTGTACTGTCCAAAATCCATACATCAAAATTAATGAGAGCTGCAAATCAAATACGGCGGGGTTACCCGGGCCGGTGAGCAGGGGTGGTGATCGTAAATTATGCCTGTTTAAAAACAAGGAGTGTTTTCACATGCTTGTGCAGATGCATGTTAACAATGTTGAATTTTTATGAAGGAAGCGACCTCAGTCGAAGTGATTAAAAGCACCAAAGCGTGACAGCGCTGAGGTGAGCTCCCCCCCGCCTCACCCTCTCCTCTCTTTCTCACCCATTTCCTTTTTTCTTTGTCTCTTTCTTTGTCAATTTGTCTGATTTTCTGCCTGCCTGTTTGTTTGCTTTAAAGAGCTGTCTGTCTGCGCCCACCCTCCACCTTGCTCCCCCCCTCCTCTCCCTCTAACACACACACACACACACACACACACACACACACACACACACACACACACACACACACACACACACACACACACACACACACACACACACACACACAAGGACAAAAACAGGACTTTTATGGCGGGGTTTTATGGACTGGTAGCAAAGCAAGTCGGTGTATTCCTTAACAATCGTCCTCTCGTGAACCATGGGGGGGGGGGGGGGGTGTCTCCTAATCGTGCAGTTTCACAGCTCATACTCACCATCAATCAAACCTGTCTGTGAGCACCCTGCAGCTGTTTGCAACATACAAACCTCTCCTGAATCACCAAACAAAAGCCATCACGCACAACACTTCAAATATCTATCCTTTACATGCATACCTCCATATTTAGAGACAAACACTCACAATCCCACACACACACACTGCGATACCAGGGTCTAATTTTAAAATGTAAATGAGGTGACAGGTGAGTATCGAGGAGCAGAGCGATAACAGCTAACATCTTCACTCTGACACATTATCGCTGCGCCACATCACTAAGAAGTGCCCATTCAATATTGTTACCTTTGGCAGAGTGCAAGGAGAAACACACTCCTCAGTCTGTGTGTGTGTGTGTGTGTCCTTTTTGTGCTCATTAGACACTGCATAGACACCTGCATGTGCACACACACTCACACACGTACAGTCACAGAATCACATCCAGAGGCTTATCTTTTGGAATAAGAAAAGGGGCTTGTCAGGATGGCACATTGTGAGTGTGTGTGTGTGTGTCAGTGTGTGTGTGTGAGGGGAAGGCAATGTGCATTAGGGCGATTACAATATCAGCCGACTCCAGATGGAGGCAGGAAAATAAACAGTGGGAGAAAGAGGGAGAAAGAGAGAGAGAGAGAGAGAGAGAGAGGGGGGAAGACATCATGAGAAGCAGCCTAAGAGAGAGATTCTGCGTGTGTGTGTGTCAGTGTGTGTTTGTGTTTGTGTGACAGTCTGCTTGTGTAAGATACAGTTGGAGAAAGTGAAGTTAATTAGCGACTCAATCCGAGTCCATACAGAGAGAACTGAGAGCAAAATGTGTGTGTGTGTCTGTGTGTGTCTGTGTGTGTCTGTGGGTGTGTGACCCTGAACTGTGATGGAGATAAAGTTAGCTCCCCTTCTAAACAACCGAAAAAAACTACATTTTCCAGCTGCCTGTCGTTAACGGCGCCGCTAACACAGCTGCTTGTGTGTTATTGGCTCTGCAGCAGCAAAGACAGGTATTAATCTATGATACAGATGATTTCTGATCTGTTTCCTAAATGCTTGAAATGTATAATAACCCACAAAGATTTAAACGCCTCCATGAAACCTGATAAATACTCAGACTTTTCCCTGTTGGCCTCTTCTTCTCTCAGCCTTATAAGTCTCATGTTATCTGGAGTAAAAACACGAACAGGGCCAATAAAATCAGTTTGTAGTGCTCACTGTTGACTTTGACATTAAATAAGCTCCAGTAAAGGCCAGCTCACAGCTACAATAAAACAAAGACCTCTAACAGAGGGAGAGAGGGAGAGAGAGAGAGAGAGAGAGAGAGAGAGAGAAAGAGCATACACACACTTCATATACAAGAACCACTCACACAGACACACACACATATACATGCCAGTCCTTTTATACCTCAGCTGCTCTTTCATGGGTGATGAAATTCAATAAGCAGTGAAGAGAACTGCCCTCTCGCTGATAACCATCAATGGGCCTATCGATCGACAAGGAAATATGTGTGTGTGTGTGTGTGTGTGTGTGTGTGTGTGTGTGTGTGTGTGTGTGTGTGTGTGTGTGTGTGCGCATGTGTGTCACACATTCAGATCCCATCTATAATTCACTTTGGGCCTTGGTAAGAGACAGCACTGAATAATCAGAACAGATCTATACATCTTGAAGGAGTGCATGGATCAGTGGTTTTAGTTTCCAATTCTGCTGCTGACATTCGCCCCTGAATGTACCACTTTACATGCAGCCTGTGCCTTAAAAAATAACACACACTCTGACTGTTTTTTGGAGACATAAAAATCATAAAAGATCTCTGATTTTTAAAGCACTTTCGATCAGCTTACAGCAATTTCAGTTTAGCAGAGGTTTTCTGGCTTTTTCTTGAATTACAAAGTGTGTTGCAGCTTAAAATGTAGCTGCACAAGAATCCCAGACAGAAAATGAATTCATCCAACATTCAAATCAATCAATGAATCAATATTTTTACGATGCCAAATAGAACAAAGGTTAGCTATAATTTTCTGAGACATCAACCCACAACGTAGCAAATTTTTGGCAGCAGTTGCAAAGAAACAGGGGTGTGTACAGACATGTGGCCGTGGGTGGCATAGACCTCCTTGAAATCTGGTAAGCCCAGGTGCCACCCCAAAATTCTTAATTATTTTTTGGCTATTTGCCTTAACAGAGGTAGGACCTGTGTTAAAATCAACTATCAGACTATTTTGTTGCATTTTATCTTTTGTTGGTATTGTAAATTGTCACAAATAAACTGCTCACTTAATGAGACAGGTGTGTGGTAGAGGCATCAGTCTATAAGTGTGAAATGTCTTAGATAAGCTAACAAACTATTTGCACATTTATATGTACACACACTTAATGCCATCCCTGCATAATACAGAGCCCCAGCTTGGATTCACCCCTGCAATAAAAATAAAACTCTTTCTGTACAGGCAGAAACCTCAAGCAGGACCAGACTCATAGGTAGAAAGCCATTTATATGCCAAGAAATCCAAGACAAATTTTAAAATCTAGAATAAAATCTACAAAATTTGGCCACAAACCACAACAAATGGACTCAAACATGAGATGGATTTTTCAGGGGTTCATAAACTTCACTTTAGCATCTTCAAACTACAAGCCTTTACCTCATTTCTGTCATAGTTCTTTCATTGCAAGCCATTAAAGAGAGCAGAGCCGCACAGCTCATCCAGACACACACAGGGTTTTCATGTTGTAGGCAGTGTATTAACTCTGTTGAGTCATCATCCCTTATCCACTGTGCAGCAAACCTGGACTGCATCCAAACGTCTGTGTGTCATACTTAAAAGAAGTGCTTTGTAATTACATCACAGCGCTAAAGCCTAAATGTTACTAGAGGGAGATATATTCGTGAGCTTTCCCCCTCTGAAATAATAGTAATTCATTGTTTGAGGCTATGATCTAAAAGCTGTATTTGGATGCAATATAAACCACTAGAAAGCTATTGTCTGTGGAGAGCATCAAAAAGCACTGGGCCACAGAAAAAAAGGAAAATAATCAGTTAAAGTGTGTGTGTGTGTGTGCGTGTGTGTGTGTGTGTGTCATCTGCATGCCACATTGTGTCACTATGCAGACGATGACACACTCTATTTTTCAGAGAGTTCCTTTTCCAACTTGCCAAACAACTACAGCTATATCAGTGTTTGTGTGTTTCAGCACCTGTTTGTTTGTGTGTGTGTGTGTGTGTGTGTGTGTGTGTGTGTGTGTGTGTGTGTGTGTGTGTGTGTGTGTGAATAAAACGGTTGCCATCATCTTTGCAAAGCCACTTCCGTGTCTGTGAGCAGCGGTCTGATGCATTTGACCCTATAGCCCGGGAGCTGGGGTGGGGGTGGGGGGGTTAGAACAGGTGTGAGGCAGGCTGGTGGCTGGGCAGATGGCCCCTGGAAGTGCTAGTTGATGCTGCAGCGCCTGGACCGCAGAGAGTTAGCGGCTAACGCTCATACAATTCTGTGTATAGAGCGTGCACAGATGACCACATGCACACACAAACAGTGATAACCTGCAAACAGCACTTATCATTTACTCTCCCCATCACCAGCTTTGTTTACCTTTCATTTACTACTCTCTCTCTCTCTCTCTCTCTCTCTCTCTCTCTCTCTCTCTCTCTCTCTGCTTTATCTCTGTAAACACACACACTCCAGGTAATGGTCTTTTCATTCAAGTCACCACTTTAATGGAAGTCCTAGTGGTCCAGCAATGGGAAAATAAACTACACATGACAAAATAAATGACAGCCAGGCCGACCAATCACAACAGAAAGATTACTGGGGTACATAATAACCAGAACTGCCTTATGATAAAAAATATATAAATACAATTAAATGTAAAATTCGGCCTCAATTTCATCAGCAAAATCGCCACCACATGTGTTTTGGGCCAAAAGAACCCCAACATTTTCCAGATTTTAAACCCCTCTTCTCAGTTTTTTCCTTTTCAGTGTCAACTCAGTCAATGCAAAATGCCCATAAACATTTCCCTTATTCCAAAAGGAGTTAACACTTACTCTCCTGGATGCCTTCAAAGCATTTCATGGGATCATTCGGCATGCGTAAAAAATGCCCAAAAGCCCTGCAGGTCTCCTGTAGATATTTTTCTCCCTCCATAATCCGAGCCGTGAGAAACAGCGAGGCATGGACAGCAGGTTGTGCCCCAGCAGCCTCCCTCCCTGCTCCTTAACCCGCATGTCTGTCTGCTCTGCTCTTGGTCGGGGTAAAACACTCCCACGGGTACAAAATATAGCGCCAACCCTTTAATTTTAACCTCACACCACCCCTTTTAAAAAAGAAGATTAAGTTTTTTTCTATTCTCGGTAATGTGAGGGTGACAAAGTCGCAGCGGGTGGAGATGGAAACTTCACATGGGTTTGAGGAGATGCGTTTGACAGTTGTGACTGAGCTCCGGAGGATGTTTTCAAATGCAAACTCTCAAATACAAAAAAAGGGAGAGACAGGCAGAGGGACAGCAAAGCCTCTATACATTCGGAAAGCTGTCATGCAAAGTGGCGAACATCAACAGGCACAATATTTGCACCATAATTATTTAGAAGAAATGATCTGTACCGTAAAGAAATATGAGGAGAACCCCTTTTTTTTATCATCGGTGCTATTTCCCTCTTTGTTTATGATCTCTGCATGCTCTCAACCCCTCAGTGGCACATAATCGTCCACACCGCACTGAGGAGCAACGACACAAACCTGGCTCATGATAATAGAGCAGGTGACCATTAATTTCAGGGATTATCAGATGATTATGATGATTGTGACACTTCCAAACGGAGCCGTAAAACTTCAGTGGCTCGTTGCCCGAGAACCCTTCTCCGTGCAGGGTCTCTGCAGCTCATGCTTTGCCTTTATGGAATCGGAAACAGCTGCAACTTGGTGTCCTGATTTAACAAACCGAAGCGGGATTTAAACCTTAACTCAATCAGTTCCTTACAGTTTTTGCGAGACTGTTCAAATTCTACTTTTGGAGTCATTTGGATTTGCAGCTGATCTTTAACTGCAGGAATAATGTGCTACAGCAAATTACTTTAACAACTCAGCCTGTCTCCAATTTCAATAAAATGTTACCTCGACAATTAGTCCACAATTACGCACAGCTAAAACACACCGTTCGCTCAAGGAACAGAGTTGCAATCGTGATCATAATAAAAACAAAACAAACAATCAATCAGTAATCAATAAAATGATACGATCGCATGGGCGCACGGGGTCTTTTAATTCAGATGTCCCCACATCTGTCGCTGTGAAGCCAAAATCTCCTGCTCACTTTACATTAAAATGTATTAAACAAAGCACAAATCATGAATCCTGCAGCGCTTCAGTCGCTATTTAACTGCCTTTCTACACCAAGCAGATGCGTAATTGCCCCAAACAGTGTACAGCATGAGAGAGGCCACTTACACTGAAAAGAGGCAGAAATTCCCACCATGCGGCACGTTGATGTGAGAGGGCTAAATAATTTCCAGTCCTTGTGACTCCGCGCGAGGTCCCCTCGACGATCCGCTGGAAACGGGAAGACGTGCGGTACCTGCAGAGTCCAGACAGCTCACAGGGGCTACTTCCAGAGGGTCGAAAATGAGATTCAAACTCCGACAAAAGAGGGAGGAGAGGGTCGGCTAACGCTCTGCAGTAAATGATCAGTCAGTGGAGAGAGTCAGGATGGGGAGCCTGGGAGTCTTGTGAAGGCGCAGGGCAGGGAAAGGAGGAGAGATGATGGAGAGGGAGGATGCAGAGGAGCGCGGAGCACTCGTCCGATTCTCTGTCCGTCTTTACGCACTTAATTTTGAAAATCCTCAAAATGTAGTTTCGATCAAGAGTGGGGAAATCGCTTTTGAAATAATATAGAAATTCATCCGTACACCCTCGGTCATGGGGCTCCTTGTTCCCTGCTTCTCCGGTGGCGTGGGGATGAGGAGTAGCGGCGCTCTGCCTCCAGTCGGCGGTGCGCAGCAGAGCCAGGTGGCGGTGGGCGGGACTGAAGCGCTGCTGAAGAGGAGGAGGAGGCGGCGACTGGGCAGCAGGCAGCATCTGTGTGTCCTAAAACAGGTTGGAAAATGCAGGGTCAGGTCAAGTCAAAGTGTTTTCTACTGTGCCAGTGGGTGCTGGAGCTTTTCCACGTCAAGGGCTCAGTGTGGGAGATTATGCTCAAGATATTTCACCCAAGGGCGCCAGACACAGTGTACCAGCACAGATTAGTCAGTTATTGTTGGTTACATTTCGGTCATGTCGAAGCATGTTTATCATTCTGACTGAAAAAAGTTGAATTTATTCTCTAAACTCTCACTGCCTTACAAGCTGTATTCAGTGCTTTGCTCACAACTACCCCTTCTCTTTCCACATATACTGTAGGTATCAAGCTTATTCATTTCTTCTTCTTGAGACCCATTGGAGGGTCCTGCTAGACCCATTTTAGACCACAGGACACATTCTGCAACAGCCTCTCACACTGACAGCAGCAGAGTGTCAGGGATGAGATCCAGCCAGCTGAGTGCTTGAGGAGCTGGTTGGCTGTCGGGTGTGTGGGTGTGAGTGTGCGAAAAAAGTAGGACTGCATGATGCTAGTCTGCACACAAACACACACACAGACATACACACACACATATACACACTCACAGACAAGAACAGTGTATCTTTCCCTCAGCTGAAAAAGGCACAGGCCTGCAGTAACCCAAGGCAAACACTTTCCCCGGACCATCTGGAAGTCATCTCGCCTGCAGAGCCAGTGAAAGCTCAGAGCAGAAGCTACGTTTACAACTCGCTGATAACAACCGGTCCTCTTGAACTGCATGGGTGAAGATGTCATGCACCGTAGGCTGTTCATAACACCTCTCATATTAAATTATTCTGCTTTAGTCCATTCTGCACAAAAAACAAAACAAAACTCAGCATCTCTAAAATACACAAGTAAACTTTCAGGCCTTTAGGCTAAAACAATATATGATACAATTTATGAGACAGTGTGTAATGATATAACATTTTAAGGATGTGATATATTGTCATATGTTATGATATGATGCAGTATGATATGATATGATACAATACGATAAGATACACTTTCCCTGTGATATATGATAAGATACAACACAGTATGATAGAATAGGGTATGATATGTAATCAGAAAAATACGAAACGATACGATACAATTCAATATGAAAGATGATATGATTAATCGGATATGATAGGACATAATACAGTATGATAGGATAGGCTATGATAGGGTGTGATGTGAAAGGAAACAATACAATACATTTATATAATATGATATGATACAATATGATACAACATTATACGACATATATGATTGCGGTGCATTATGATATATGATAGGTATTATATGTTACAAATCAACAGATATGACACATATTATACAATAAGATACAATATGATATGAAATACTATTTGATAGGATACCATACTATACAATATGCTTCAGTCAGTCACAGTAATCTATGATGTAGTATGATACAGTGCATGTTATTAAATACAAACCAATACAATTTAATACAATGAGATAAGACATGATAGAAATCAAAACAATACAACTCTGGATGAGAGAGAGTAGGATACAGAGTGATACTTAACAGCACAGTAAATGTTATACTGTTGTGATAATCCACAACACAGTATGGGAGGTTGAACTTCAGCTAAAACATAAATAAATAAATAAACAATGATAATAAAATAAGAAGTAAAACTAGTGATACAATTTCCATCAGACAACCATCAACTCCATGATATGATCTCCTCCTTCAAACATAAAAAAGCAGCCAGTAATTCAGGACAGAAAATATAATTATCCAACTTAAATCTACTCTTTCCAGCTCATGGGGTGTCACATAAGCCTGGGTATCATCTCCTTTTTATTTCTGCTCTACTGTAAATGTATAACAGCCAGCAGATTGTTAGCACACCATCAGCATAGAGCTCATTGTTCCCTCAATCTGATCTCTGTGGGGAAAAGATGATGCCATTAATGGCAATTGTTTGCAACACTGCCATTGTGCATTTCTCTCTTTAACTCTATCCCCCTCTCTCCTTCTCATCTCCCGCCTGTCTCTCCCTGTGTGGAGTGAACAGCATTGTGCTCTCAAAGGAAAATATGGATAGATACAGACTGTGGCACTCTCACAAGTACAGAGCAAGGACTCAGTGCTCTGCTTCCATTTTTACAGTCTGAGGCCTTTTGTCGAGCTGTGACAAAGAACGTGAAGCTATGCGGGATGTGTGAACAGATCTGGAGGGAGAAGAGGGTGAGGGAGTGAGATGGATGGATGGAGGAAATGTTAATGGGAAGAAAGGGGGAGAGAGTTAGACATGATTCATATGAAAGAGAGGAGGTTTGGGGTGAGGGCTCATCTGCAAAGGTAGGCTGATGTGGTCCAGAAGAAAAACCGGTCTGAGACGATGGAGTCACTCTTGCCTGTTTGTTCCCTGAGAGCAACTTCTCTCATGACAATCACAGTGAAACATCTTGACGGCCGGAGGCGCAGGGATAGGCGTTGAGGAAACCTGCAAGGGAAAAGAGAATAGGGCAGCGATCTGTGTGTGTGTGTGAGTGTGTCCTGTGATAACGGTGCGTGAGAGCAGGAAACACACAGTGCCTGTTTTTGCTGCAGGGGTTCCTGGAAGTCAGCCGCCCAGTGTGATTGGCGACATATACACACACACACATACACAAAGGGACACTCACACACATTTGAGGACACACACAAACACAACACACAGGATACCTCGCCTCTAAAAGGGAAAAACATGCTGCGTCTGATACATGTGGACACAGACAAGCAGACTTCCTGCATTTTCCCACCTACTGGGCGGCCACCTGTGACACACACTCACACACACACTCACACACACACACACTCATATTACAGTCACAGGGACAAAGCCAGAATGGGACGAGTATAAGTCGGGAGTTGACAGTAAACAAGTGCCCTTCAAAGGCCTGTTATTATCTGGCTTTACAGCAACGGCACCTGAGGCCGTCATTCGACCATCAACATCACCAGCAACTCTGGAGACAGACACAACTGTCAAAGAGAGGAACAACCATAGACTGTATATACTATGGATAACTTGGCTCTGCCTTCCGTCATGATACAAAATTGAAGCTGAATTGCTTTTGGTATTTCCAGGATTTTCTCCACTGCACTTGCACTTTTGCAGTAGCCTTTTACGCATTTGGTAGGAGCGTCGCTGTGATGACGCTCAGCTCAAATTGTATCCCTCGGGTGAGCTACGCAATCTTCGTACGCCCAAAGGCTGTATCAAGTGTCAATCATCGAAAACATGAGCCCCCTAATAACTTCTAAAAATGGAGCTGTACAGAAAAAAGAGGACTTGAGCACAAACCAGTCTTACAATAACTACATGTCAACATCACAACCTGGGGGGGAGAAAAATGTATATTCTGTGTAATTAATTTCTTAACTTTGTCCACAGTTCCATAAGAATTGCTGGAGAAGGCGGGATTTATGACCTATACTGCAGCCCGTCACCAGAGGGTGCTGTTCTCAAAGTGGCTTCACCCAGCGAGGAGGCAGACGGCATCCATTCTAAATACAGTATATGGGGACAACCAATCAAAAGCTACATACTCAGTGAGGTAACTTCAGCAACCTGGTGCTTGCTCCACATGTAAAAATCTAAAACTAGACTTTGATAATCTGACTGAAATCACACATAATCAATCGTGGGACTAACACACCTGGGTAGGGGATTGATTTCCTCTCTCATGTGTCTGTGCATGCTCAAGAATTAACACGACAACTGCATCAACGCAGTATATCAACCTCCACTCTAGCAGAGGTCGACATACTTCTGTCAATAATCCGATTCTTGTCTGGTGCTTGTAAACTGGAACAAGGACAGCAGTCCAGTTAAATGGCCTAAACCAGCTTCAACCCTCGCTTAACTTAACTTTGCATGTAAACACACTGGATGGTAAAGCGTTGATGCATGGCAGGGATCTCTATGCATTTAGCCCGATGCAGTGAAATCCACTACAGAGTCTGGTCTGATTTTTAATGCAGTGGCGGCTGAGGGTCCTTAGATCACATCAAATCAACATCCATGTTTCTTTTTTTTTCTCACAATAGATGGTAAAATCTGTTTTACACTCAGCTTGATTAGTCTGACACTCTTAGACTATTTGCTCACAATGTGACTCACAAAGTTGTGAACCTCTTCCCATCTTTACATCGGAGAGACTCTGCCTCTCTAAAAATCCTTTTCTACCCAACCAAATTATCTGTTGTAAATCAACATTAATAGTTAGGAGATCTCTCACCAGAGTTTTTAGGCTTACACAAATTTTCCAGTGTTTTATTTCCCCTGTCCTAACTTTTAACAGATTTGTTGCATCCTTGCTGTTTCGAGGTTGTAGTTTATGATGAGCAGCTCTTTGCAATTGGATGTTACTAGTAAAGC